TAAAAATTCTTCACAGAAGAAATGGTTGCCAACATTGCATCTAAAACTTAAAGCTATTGCGAAGTTATCAAAATTAAAACTGATGAAGTTCATAGCTTTTTAAAAAAAAGTTACAGTTTTAGCCATTTCCTGCTGTTTTATTGGCTGAAATGATTGTCGGGCGTTAAAAATTACCTTATGCTCTTTTTGTTTTTCAAATGATGGGCCTCCCCTCCTATACTCCCCCGCTTAAATATTTCAACACCAATAATGTTTGATGGCTATCACTAAACTTTTTTGATAACTAAAAATGTAAACTGTTTTCATATTATTGTTTAAAAACATTGTTACAATTGTTCTTCTGTCAGCGATTTGTAGAAAAACGTTTTTGGGGTATAAAATTGGATTTAAAAAAGTGCAAAAGATTTATCAGGTTTAAGCTTGGTGGCACGTTAGCTTAATAACTTTTTAGTGTTACTACTTTCACACTTTACTAATGAACGTTTCTTAATTATACAGTAACTGGTTTTATTCATTCAAGGGATGAAGCTGCTTTTCCTCTTTTTGTAGAATAAGAAAGGATATTGCGAGCATGTATGTAAGTTTGGCTTCATTCTACGCTCATCAAAAAAACAAAATATTGCAACCTTACTTACTCGTTACTCTTAATTAGATGCGTCTTTACTCAAATTTATCGCCCCTCCCCCCCCCCCTTCATGGCACTTGCGTTGTATTTAAAGAGCTCTTAGTATTTACCTGTATCCTTCAGGCCTGTAGAGATATTTGATTGGACTCGGTTAAAGTAAGCTTTATTTTATTTTATACTTCTTAGTCACGCATCTAAACCTATTTTTAATCAAAGCATTCAATCAAAGTACTCTATATCAGCATTAAATTCTTTCCGATCTTGTTATAAAACAAATGACTACTATTCAACCTATTTATTGCCATCAACAGACCAGTTTTTTTTAAAGATAAGCATTGATATTCAGTTTATGTAGGGTTTATTTTTGATCAAGATAAGGCGTACAGAGGTTTCTACTGATCAATTACGTGAACTAGGCCAACTTCAGCTTGTCATAATTTTACCAGTTGTTAAACTTTCGTTTTGAACCATTCTTGCACGATGCTTTCCTTTCAGCAGCAGATTGTTTCTCCCTGTTCCTGATCTATATATTTGAGCGCGATTCTCTTCCCATTACATACTTGGAGGGTTTCTCGGAGAAGACACATTTAGTTTACTGAACGTAAACCCAGAAATTACTCCCACTATAGTAGTATTTTAGTTTGAGTTCTCCGATATCATACCAATTATGGCCAATTCGGTAAATCAAGGCTTGTTATTTTCGTAGCGTGTGTACCTGAAACCAACTCTGATACTATTTGTCTACATTGTTAAAAAGACAGCCTTACAACATTAGATCCAAAGATGCCTACCTAAAGTGATTTTCGCTGCCATGCCAATTACCGTGAATACCTTTAGCCATGTGGGTCCTGATGTGTGGTTTCGAGCTTTACGTCGTCAGAGTTTTACCAAGTCTCAGCTTTGCCGCCTGATTCCCTTTCATTTTTTTTTTCATCCCCAATGAAGGCCAAATACAATTTACTGATGAATAACTGGCGATGTTCTGTTGACGTTACTACAAAGGATTGCGATGTTTCCTTCTTGCTTTCGGGATCAGATTTCGGAAGGGGGTTCCTTTTCAGGTCTAACAATGTCAAGTCGTCTGTCTTTTGCTTCATTAAGCCCTTTCCACAAGCAACCTCTAGGTAGTGGAGAGGTTAAGTCTTATTCGTTGTCGCTTATAATAATCTAGTCATTTCGTGTATACTTTTGACACGAAAAGAAATAGCGGAAATTAGAAAAAGTATCCCTTCATATTTGAAGTGCTATGTGGTCTCGTAAACTTTAGGAAGCTAAAGGTGGAATCGCTGCCATAAACAGATCCAGTCTGAATAAACTTGCAATTGTGAAAAACCAAAAAGAAAGAGAAAAGTTTTGTGACAAGTGTCTTATTGGTCGACTTGAATTTGTATAAGATCCTTTTTTTTTTTTTTCCTGCCCCACCCATGGCAACACACTCCTAATTTCTCTCTTTCTCTTAAACAACCGATGTTCTTTTTGAACACTAGAACACGAGTATAGTTTTTTTTTCTATAATATTTGGAACATGATTGGTTTTTAGAATACAATCGCTACAGGAACTTAACGTTCGAATCAATGATAAGTCAGGACACTACACGTCTTTTTTTTTTTAAGTCCTGCGCAGTTGTGAATTTAGAAATACGTGTAACCCAGAAAAAAAAAAAGATTATATAAGATGAGAAATTATCTTTTTCTTTGTTTTTCTTCTTCATTCTTTTATTTATCCATTTCAATAACTCAAGTATAGTAGTTATTGCGGCCTATTGTTACTAGTAAGGGATGACTTCTTCATGGATAAAGAACCTCTATTGGATGAATATGACCCTAAGAACTTTGCTGATACCTAGTGGCATTAATTTGCTTCCTTTGTAGATGATGGTTTAATATCACACAGGAGAACAAATGATTCTGATAGAAGATGGCTGATACTAGTACGAAGACTTTATTTTGGGGACTTCATCCCCATCTTTCTTGTTTCTCTCAACCTTTTTTTTTTTTTTTTTTTTTTTTTTTATAATAATAAAGTAAAGTTTTGTTTCTACTTTCATGTGTGCATCTAAGTATAATTTTCTTGTTGAGAGCTTTCTTGTTGAGAGACTATAGACGGGTATGCCTTGAAGAAAAAGAAAACATCCTGTCCTTTTTTTGTTATGGTCTAAAAAAATATGATATGCTCCTTCCAAAAGGCCTGATAAAGTATTCATCTGCTTCCCTTTAATAACGACATGCTTTGAGAGTACGTGAATCTTATTATTTTATGGGACGAGGTTATAGTGATTATATACTTCATCTGCCAAAGATATCTTGTGAGGTGTTTTCTTCGGTTTTTTTTTTTCGTTTTTTTTTTTTTCTTTTGTTTTTCACTCTACTATCTGGGGGTCGAGAAGCTTCTATATGGATGAATCCGGTGACAGCCAATAGATAACGCTATATAGATTTTTAATCTTTTTTTCATTACTTAATCTATGTAAACAGATGACGACATGTATTTAAAATAGTAATGACCATAAACAAATTCTGTAAACATCAACCGCCACAGACACCAGCAGATTATAATATTCTATTATTAGTCAATATAGTGTATCCATGCTGTTGCCAATACTGATGTTTCTCAGTAACAACGAAAAACCATATATTTCATCCGTGTAGTGTCAAGTATTTACACGATCTCCTGTTTCAGGTTTTAGTTTAAAATCATGCTAATAAATTAACCTTCAATCCGAATTCCGCTCTCTGGGTTTAACAAATAAAAGAAATGCATGACAGCCAGAATACGTTGTACAGGATCAAAAAAGATCCTGAGATCGTGTGCTTTTTTTTTTATTATTAAAATAAAAGTTTGTAAAAAATTCTATGATGTAATTGACCCCCTATTCACTTGAATTAAAGGCGCTATAACCCATATATTTGCATGTCATATATTTAGATATATAATTTTTTTTTTTTTTTTTTTTTTTTTTTTTTTTTGTGGACAAATTTATTATTCTGAAATTTCCACAGCCGTTTGTTTGGAAAAAAGTGCCTGTCATAATTTTCTTTCGCTTTCACTTTCGAAAGACTATTTGGCAATGACCCCGTGGAGGATTATTATAAAATGCATGTTACTCTTATGAAAGCTTTTAAAATATTACTGAGAGGACGTAAAGAAGGACATGAAAGGCTCAAGAATGAATACTTTTCGGAAAAGCCAGTATATTCCGACGCTGTCTTTCGTAGAAGATATTGAATGAAGAAAAGTCTCTTTTTTTTGAGAATCAACAAAACAGTGACGGCTCATGATAGTTACTTTGAGCAAACGTATGATGCCGCCCACGTCCAGGGGGGGGGGGGGTTTTCGCCACTCCAGAAGGTAACATCAGTCATGCGTCAACTGGCTTATGGAGTAGAAGCGGACGCAATTGACGAGAATATTTCCATAGCCAAATCAATCGTCCAAGAATCCTTAAAAAGATTCGCACAAGCTATTGTACTGTGTATAAGGAGGAGTATATGAAAAACTCCAACGCAAGAGGATGTGGATCGTATGTTGGCAATTAACGGAGAGAGAGAGAGGCTTCCTGGGTATGCTTGCATCAATCAATTACATGCATTGGCAATGGAAGAACTGCCCACCTGCTCATCATGGGCATTTTACTGGTAGAAGTGGTTGACCAACCATTATTTTGGAGGCCGTAGCTTCTCAAGACCTTTAAATATGGCATTTTTTTTTTTTTTTTGGTCTTCCCGGTGCCCTCAACGACATTGATGTTTTCTCCCGGTCCCCCATATGTTAAACAAGTAGAATCCTATAACCAAGAAAGCTTATTAATAGCTTCTACTAAGTACAACCAGTACAAATGTTCGACTTAATCAAGTTAAGCCTAAATTTTTGTATCATTTATTTGAGAAGACTGGATTTTTTTAAATTTTGTTTGTTAATCTACAATTGATTGTATAAGTCTAAACCATTAAAATTAGAAATTAAAAAGCAAAAAGAATAATGCCGTTGAGAGTATTGTTAATAGAAAATGTTATTGTCCATCTTTTTGCAGCCTTGAATTTAAAGTGACTACTATCAATTTTTTTAACTGAGCGAGGAACTTCGATCGGTTGCTCGCTCGAATCCAAAAAGTTATTTTGCTATACATATTCCTTCCCAAATTTTAAGTATCGATTTTATAAAGAACCCAGTTGAAACCATGTATTGTGGCTTTAAGGTTGTACAAGATTGACTCCATGTTCTTATAATAAAAGAGCGTTTTTTCAGTCAAGATCGCGTTCCCAAACAGTTACTGTAATTCCTTTGCGGTTTTTCAAAAATGTTTAGCGGAGTTGATCTGTCAAGGGTGTACCGAGGTTTTTTTTTTTTTTTTTTTTTTTTTTTTTGAACCATTCCTTTTTTTTTTTTCGCTGTAAAAAAAAAACCATGAGTAAAGTTAAACTTGTCGACTTTACAAACAAGCTGCCGACAGTTTCAGAATGGTCGAAAGGGTTTAGATATAGAAGTGCTTCACCTAGAATAACACTTGGTAGTCCCTCCATAGCAGGTAGACATATCCTTCTAAAAAAAAAAAGAGAATGATCCCCCAGTGTATTTGACATTTTTGTTTATAACAGCCCATGGCATACAACAAATGAAACTTCCTAAAGTGAATGACATGACCGCAGTCGAAATATACCCTGGTAAGCTATTTGCAATGTTCAGAAAAATTAAAAATAAAAAGACGTTCTTAATGAACACTTTCAAATTTCGATTTTAGGCTTAGGTGTGTGGACAAGAGCTTTAAAGGATATTGGATTTAAGCGAGTCATTTCTTTAGAACCCCAAGTGTTATATAATCATTGGATGGAGGGCATGGCCCAGGAATCCCAAGGTGTCTTGGAAGTTCTGAAGAAAGATGGGTATGATTGGGAAGCTTACAACGAATTAAAGGATCCCAAATATATCGGTAACATGGAAACCAAAGACTGGACTGAAGGTATTTTACCCTGCACACACACACACACACAGATGGACATATATGTATGAGAATGGGGGGGAGGAAAATGAAAATCTTATACAATTTGCCTTCTAGTACACCCCGATATTTTATTTACAGGTACATTGCCTAAAGGCAGTAGAGGAGAACAACTATTAGCTCAGTTTGCTACCTGCATTGTAAATAAAATGGCAATGCATACTCTAGGTCGTATCCAAATGGCCTTTTGGGTGCCAGATACTTTATACCAAAAGTTTGTGGCTCCACCAAGGAATCACATTAGATGTAAAATGAGTGTTATTGCAGAGGCTTCTGCTGATGTTAAATTGATTTGCTCAACAGAACCTGATGATATGTATCCCAGCGTAAGTATATCTATAGTTGCTATTAAATGAAACTGCCCCTATCTGAAATTCTCTCTCTTGCAGTCTTTATATCACCTTATACACATCGTGCCATTTGAAAAAAGTCAAATAACAGGTAAGCATCACCCTTTTGTGTGTGTGTGTGTGTGTTACAAAATGACATAGACTAAATTATATGGTATAGCCCAATGGGATGTTTTTGAGTATGTCCTGAAACATTTGTTTGTTATGCAAAAGAAATCACTTAAACATATGGTCAAGTAAGTGAATACGCATTACCTCCATAGTGCAGTGGGTGTCTAATGACGAATTGTTTGATTATAGAACATTGGGGCCTGGTGCCGACATTATTCTTCCTAGATTATCCTTTGATTCCAACATACTTGTGGGACAAATGACAGCAGCACAATTAAATGAAGTTGCGTTAAAATTCGACGAGTGGCCCTTAAGACCTAGAGTGTTATTTGAAGATTCCTCTGTTTTCACATAAAGAATACAGAAGAAAAAAAAATAAACTTTTTTAATTAATAGATTTATTTACAATGTACAATTTCTCAACGTCTTTTGCTTCCTTTCTTCCCTTTACCCTGTTGGGGTTCAGAAATGGCTAAGGCATGTCCGGTATCTTTAATATGACTGAAGAGCATATTTCTTGTGTCAAACTTTTCTCCACAAACATTACAATCATTCTATGGACGAAATAAGTATGGAGAGCAAGGGGGGGGGGGATGGTTCATCTTCTATTTTTACCTCTGTAAGTTCATTTTCCTCCTTCAACTTTTTCTTTTCCTTTCTTTTCTCTCTTTTAGTTTTGGCACTTTCTTTTTCCACAGGTACAGCCTCTGATTCGACTATTATTGATTCAGTAACAGGTTCTTTACTTGCTGTCTCCTCTGTAACGACGACTGATGGTGATGGTTTACCGCCTTTTCTTCTTCTTCGTGTTCTTTCTTCCTCTAATGCAGCAGCAAGTGCATCCATATCATCTAAATCTTCAGGGACATCATCTTCATCATATCCCCAACGAGGAGCTGCCTTCTTTTTATTCTTCTTCTTGTTTTTTTTATTAGAGGACACTACCTCTTCCAAGTCTAGATCGTCTATTTGGTCAGATACCTGTTCTAATTCTATAGGAATTCCTGGATCTATCTCTTCAGATATATTCTCCATGCCGAAATTTTCTTCATCCGCAAGCATTTCTTGACGAAGTATCTCGACATTTTCTAAATGTCGCTTACTACTTTCATGTGTTGTAAACTGTTTCTCACTTCGGTAGGCTTTGTCACATACAACACAATAAAACTCATCCATCACCTCTTCCTCTTTGTCATCTTCCTCGTCTGTGAATACCTCTTCTTGTTCTACTTTAGCCCATTCAGGTGTTTGGTAATCAGCCGCTTTTGCTTGCAACTCTTGCTTCTCACGTTGCACACGTGCCTTCAGGTCCGCAGCAACACCTTCCTTTCTTTTCTGTTCCTCCACTAAATATGCTTTTACTCTGGGATCACGTTTACGAACATACTCTGCAAGATTCTACCGAAACCGCAAGGGGGGGGGGCAGTATGAGCGATCAACAAGTTTTACCGTATATTTGTTTTGTAGTACTTACTCTGACAGTATCTTGATATTCTTTTCTACCAGTCTCTCTTGCTTTTTTATTTTCCTTCTCCATGGCTCTTCTTACAAGTCTACTAGGAGCATCCGATAACCTCCACTTATCCATCCAGATAAAGGATTTATAGGATGTAAAGTTTGACCAAGCACCATAAAAATCCTTGACATAGGCACCGTAGCCCAAGTAGCCCTCGGCATCTGCATAAGGTGTGCTTGCATTTCCAAATAACGGGTAAGATGTCGCTGAATGTCTTTCATCCTCGTCCTCAGGTGGGTTATTACGATACGCTTCCTCTTCTTCATTTGCGAGCTTTTGAAACAGGTTGCGATAGACATTGTAGAATCCCTGAAAAAAAGATTATTTAACTTTCATTATACCATATATATATATATTTAATGTATTTACCTTTGGTGTGTCTTCATATCCTTTAAATTCGGAGACACTAAAGTATCTCATTAAATCTTCAGCGTTTGTACCAGCACTACTATCTCTTTGGTTTTTACTGTCATCGCCACATAAAATCGAATCACGATGACCGTCATACCTTTTTACAAAAAAAAAATTCAGAATGAGGTAAAAAAATCTTTTATAGCAATAATAAAAACATACCAAGATCTCTCTTGGTCGTCGGACAGAACTTCATATGCTTCTTGAATTAACGAGAAACGTTCTGTGGCTTCTCCAATTCTGTCACCGTTTTTATCTACACCATGTCAATGTTTTTTTGTTTCTGGTTTAAAATAAAGTGTTTCCCCTCCCCTTTTTCTTACCCGGATGCCAGATCAAGGCTTGCTTTCTATACGCTTTTTTGATATCAAGAGCAGTTGCTTGACGTTCAACGCCGAGCAAGTCATAATAACAAATACGCATTCTGGCCTATAACAGTAAAGTATCAAAAAAGAGAAAAAAAGGTTCGGGGCAAAGCTTTTTTTTTTTTTTTGTGTGAAAGAACCCGATTTTATGCAGTCACTGGGAAGAGTGAATTTCCTTTTGCAGAAAAGATCTCACTGCATTTCTTTTTGGGTTTCTCTTGGCTCTCTTCGTCTACACCATTTCCTTTTAATTAATGAAGGCATTAAATTGGCTACTATTACCCCTTCTACCGACACTTGCATTGGCACAGAACTTTCAATATGGAACTCGATTTCCTAAAAATAAATTATATAATCTCGAACCACAGACGATTGGACTGGATGAGATTGATGGAACTATTGCGGCATTTGGTGACTTTAACGGCGATAAGTTGTAAAATATCCTTAAAACGCTTTTTTGGCTTGTTGTAAAAAAAAAAAAAAAACTAAAAGAAATATTTATCATAGCACCGATGTGTTCATATTGAGTGCAGATCAAACCTCTGTGTCTGTCTATCTTTGGAACCACGGTAAAAAAGAAAAAAGAAAAAAAAAAAGAAATAACAACATTGTTAAATATTAAACTCGTTCTTTTAGAGGCCTTTACTTTTAAAGCCCTACCAAGTTCGAAAACTATTCAACCTGGATTTATAATTACTAACGTTGTTCCTGGTGATTACAATTATGATGGAAAGCTAGACTTGTTATTAATGGGGGAACAGAATCCAGAAAAGAACCCTTCCAAGGAAATAAAAATGCAAATATATTTTGGCAACGGCAATGATACTTTTGGTAAATATATACCCCCCTTTTTTTGCATATCTACACTTACTGAAATTATTTGTATCAGAATCGGAGACCATAAAATTACCTTCAGCACAGGATTCTTTACCAATTGTATTAGACATCAATGGTGATATGAAAACAGATATCCTTGGTTACGCAAAAGATACTGATGAACTTTCGATATGGATGAACACCGCTCTGCCCGAATCATCAAATACGTCTTCATTGTTTAATTTGTAAATCTAGAGATTTCCTTCCCATAACGTTTCAAATCACTCACTGTATTATCTTCTAGAACTTCAGCATCTACTCTTTTCGATAAAAAGTCTACAGACAAATGTATTTGGGCTAACCCACACTCAAATGCATTTGTAGATTTAAATGGAGATTGTTTAGCAGGTAAAAAAATAAAATAAAATAAAAACAGATCAGATTTGTTTTTATTATTTGATTTGTGCTAATTAATGCAAGTAGATCTGGTATTTGTTTGTGGTGCAGCTGGAGGAAAACAATCAATTCAAATTTGGATGAATGATAGAAAAGATGGTTTTAAATTGTCCTCCGTGGCGGATTTACCTACTGGAGCAGGTCCCATTAGTTTCTCAGATATCGATGGTGATGGATCTATTGATATGGTATTCCCTGTATGTGCAGGTACCGCTTGTTCAGTTCACGTCGTTTACAACCAACAAATGGGTTTATGCTCCAAGTCAAAAGAAAATATAGTCAATTGCAGAAACGCTCGAGACTTGTGCGTGGCCGATCCAAATTTTTCATTTGATCTCTCTAAGCCTAATTCCAAAGATTATGTGATTTACGACATCAATGCTCATTTAAGTGATAAAGAGTTTATTCGGATCATTGATGGCAATTTTAGAGGAAAATTACCTATTCCGATCCACACGGGAGATTATAACATGGATGGCTACCCTGACTTATTAGTGACGACAAGTGAGCGAGTCATTCTACTCCAATCCATCCTGTGTGATAGTACACTTTGCTCTGCTAATGCTGCACTCGCCGAAAGAAGAACCTTCACTGTTATCACAACAGGCGCCGAGGATTTAACCAGTATCTCTAATCCAAGTCAAGCTGCCTTTTTTGATATTGACGAAGATGTAAGTTATATAAGTCCTGATAGTTTTAGAATTTCTGTATTTAAAAACCCCCCCTCAAAAAAAATTCAGGGTTCTTTAGACATGTTGGTGTTACAACGGAATCTGAAGGAAACAAATGCAGGTCGTACACCTAATTTTGTCATCAACAACTTTTTCAATGACGCCTTCTTTTTGAAAGGGTTAGTATCCAACGGTGTCAGTAATTTAGAGGCGTATGGTGTCAGCTATCCCGGTGCCTCATTAAAATTCACGGTATTGGATACATCTGGCGTGAAGCGATCACACCATATGACGCAATTATCACAATCAGGTTATCTCTCACTTCAGACACCTTACTGTCTGTTTGGTTTAGGTAGAACGAACAACTACGTGGAAGAATTGTTTGCGGGCGTTTCTCGTCATCAAGAAAAGAATTACTTTTTCTACGAAGGTGTCATTCCTAATTCTCAACTCGTATTCCTGCCTTACCAACCGGATCATGTGCAAGATAGTTCTTCTTGGAAAGTCGAATTATACATCAAGCCAGCCGATTACGTGCCTTGGGTTTTAGGTGTACTGGTAGCTGCTTCTGTTATTCTGGCGATTGTTGTTGTTGTTTTGCGAACCATGGAAAAGCGAGAGGATGAAATGGAAAGAAGAAAAGCTCTCCATATTATTAACTTTGATGCCCTGTAGAAATAAACAAACCCAAAAAAAAAATAAGGAAGCTCGGTAAAAAAAAAAAAAATGTGTATATAGAAACATAAAAAAAGACCCCGTCATTCTTCCTGTTTTTTATCAAATCGATTTATTTTCTTGTGTAAAATTAGGCCTTGGTAGGTGTTAAATCTTCCTTTGTTTGAGCAGCAGCAAAGTTCCATTTACGCTACATTATATAAAAAAAAAAAGTGTCAATTATCCAATTTGAAATCCATTTTCTAAAATATATATCTGATTTTACGTCTGTTCCATAAGAGATGACTGTGAGGCCAACGGGAATAACAATACCCCAGAATAAAGATCTTCTGGTGTTTCTTTGATTCCACTTGAAATAGAGATGAGTGTTTTCACGGAGATGTGCCCATCTCTCAATTGCGGGATCGATCTTGAGTCCTTCAGCCATTTTAATGTATTGTAAGTTGTAGAAAAAAAAAAAAAAAGAGAACAATATTTTGGACTTCTCTTTTACAGTTCCCCGCTCTACCACTTTTCTCCACACACCCAAAAAGCAAAATTATCTAGAATGCCCCGCAAGGGTTGAAGAAAAATTACTTACGTCACGATTCATACCTACACACACCCTCCATCTTTGAATTCCCGCGCATGATGGGCAGTCGACTGTTAACGAAGCTAAATCCTAAATGCTGTGAAAAAAAAAAAAAGCAATACAGTAAATAGCCCTGGCATTTGGACCTGAATGCGATCATTTTTTTTTCTTTCTTTTCCCGTTTACACCTTTTTTTTTCTAAACCGCAATTCCTAAACGCAAATCAAGTGTGGTGCTTGGCTTGAATAAATGCGGGAATAAGCCTGGACCACCATATGTTTACAGAAGAGTCTTTTTAGTAAGAAGGACAATAAATTAAATCTCATGTTAAAAAACTATAACTTGTGAGACTGAGCTTAGCAATAATGATATCAAATAAAAGGTCTAACATGAATAATTTAAAATTTTCTACATGGAATTTATCAAGTATAAAAGCATCATCACTATCGTCTACGTAGTCTACTGCCTAGTTAAAAAAAAAATCAGGTGTTTGTCTTTGTCATTAGATTTACCCATAAATCGATCCTTTTAAAATTAATGTACCTGTCTCGGAATCAACTACAAATACCATGGGTAAGAGAATTTTATTATATCTGCACTAATTTTTGATATTATTTCTTTGTAGATACGCATGACTATTCTGAAATTGATGATAACTTTTATATTTGTATGACGTACAAAAGTACTGATCCCATTTTTTAAAAAACATTTGTGCTACAAGATTTCATGAACAAAATAAAAAAAAAAGACATATACGGAGTGCTAAGCACTGTGTTCTTCATTCGTCAAAATTCACTCATGAAAAAAGACACAAGTAGGGCTAGAATTTGGAAAAATACAATCAAAAATACCCTGTCATTATTCGTGACGCTGAAATTTTAGTTAAGTTTAGAAAGTGCCAGTGTTTTACACACTTTTTTAACGGATAATAAAATATTGATGGTACAACTCGATATCGTTTTAGATTGCAATTGTTAATTAAGACATGCATTGATTTTTTTTTTGCAGAATGAAAAGAACGATAAAAAAAAAGCATATAAATATCGCCCTCACTTCATTCGCTGCTAAAATAATATAAAATTTCATCATCCCCTCACATGCCTCCGTGTTCAAAGCTTTTTTTAAAACTTACGCCTTTACTATTCCTCTTCTCTCAATTAGCCCAGGCATTCTGTGTATATAATAAACTAGAAGGTGAGCGTGTCAGTATAAAAGTATCCAACCTACATACAACGGCTCCTACAAAGTAAGAACCAATAATATTCATGTACATACACAAAAAAAACTCTGCATTTCTTTGTTCATGAAATTCATTTTTTTTTTTTTCAATTAGACGAATGTTTACAAAAACAATCGCTCAAGGTGAAAGAGAATGTTGTCCTTATACGAACGAAGACTGTGTTTCTGGCGGACAGCGTGATTCTCCTATCATACTAAGTGTAGGTAAAATGTGTATTTTACGTGATTGCTTATTTATAAAAACTGAATTTGGGAGTCTCAAATTGTTAGGTCTATTTTGCTTTTGATTTGCTTGAGATGTGGGAGGTGAAAAGGCAATACGTCGTTCATTGTGAAGGAGGAGCAGGTATCGTCCTGACAGGTTCTGATTATAATAATATTGAAGCAACATGTTTTAAAGCGAATAGAAATTTTACCCGAGAAAAACTAGAACATTGGACACTTGCATAAAATGAGAAAAGCATGGCATCGGTTCACCTTTTTTTTTTTCTATATTAATACAAATAAATATCCTTCCCAAACAAAACAAAATAATCCAACCTCTCATCAAGGCCTATAAAAAAAAGAAGTAGTAAAAGAATCGCAACCAAAAAAGAGATTCATATGGTAATTGGCTATCTAAGTTTTTGTATAAAATACAGTTACATTTAGACAATCCTGGCCTTAAATCACAAAAAAAAAAAAATGCATGTACTTGTTGCAAACCTGTTCTAGCCTTTTCCCTTCTTTTTGTAGTCTGAAATGCGAAAAACAATTGTTGTTTTCTTTCAGAAAAAAGAGATGACTACCCTTGTCACATTAACTCTGATGTATATGTTGCATGATTCGCCAACATATTATGTCTCTGGAGGTAATTAAGAGATCAATGATGCCTTTACCAGTTCGTCCAAATTTTAAAATTATGCCTGAAAACAGACTAAGAAAATCTATTAAAAGATGCTTGAGAATCGAATAAAAAAAACTTTATAGACTTTTTCCGACTGGTGTCTATTTCTTCCTAAATTCAAAGAGTGTACAAGATGAATACAAAACCGCGCAAAACAAGAAAAAAAATTGTTAAATTTATATTTAAAAATGATGTGATGTAAGCATTTGTGTTTTTTCAGCCAATCACATTGGTGTAGCGCTTTTCGTAAAAGTTAAATTAAGGATAATGAATTTTTTTTATTATGTTTCCAATGTACTTTTATGTCTTTAATAATTGTGAATACTATACAACATTTAAACAAGGCTACAGAAAAAAAAAATGAAAGCTAAATAAAATTTGTGATTGTAAATGTGTATCTATTTAATTTTTCATTAGATTATCACACTTTAGAATCATTTTACATTAATAATTTCTTTGTCCCGTAATATTATTTTATGCAACCACTTTTTTTTTAAATCTTAGTGTTGATTTAATTTTTAAATTATTTAATTTTTTTGAGGATGCCAATATAAAAGAAGGGGGTAGCCTTGAATTCACAATCAATAATGCTTAAACGTTATGATGTGTGTTTATTTATGACCCTGAAAATAAAAGCCATGCATATCCTGTATTTGTATTATTTGCATAAGTTTCACTACATAAGTAGCAAGTTGTTCATGTTATAATTGTACCTCAGGTTATCGGTTTAAATAAAGAAAACCTCGGGATTCACAACTAAAGATAATGACGCGCACGACGAAAAAAAAAAATATAGTTATATAAATATCTCTACATATTTTATTTGTAACTCAAGCTACCCCATTATTGCTTTGTATGCACCTATCTATGAACGTTCTTTTAAAAATTACAATATCACTGTTACTCTTCTCTCAAATAACTCAGGCATTCTGCGTATACAATAAACTAGAAGGTGATCGTGTTCGTATGTTAGTAACTGGTCCATTTACAAGCGCCCCTCCAGAGTAAGATACCTCTATATTCATACATATACACTCCCCCCCCCCCTTTTTTTTTATTGATACGTTACATTTCTATTAGCCGAAAGTTTTCTAAAGAAATTGATCAAGGTGAGAGTGAATGTTGTCCATATGATAATAAAGATTGCGTTTCTGGTGGTCAACGTCATGCTCCCGTATTTTTATATGTAAGCGATTTTTTTTTTCTTTTGGTTAATTTTACGTGCTGAACTATAAATCTCCTTTCTAGTTTAAGTTTGCTTTCGATTTGCTTGAAATGTGGGAAGTGAAGCGACAGTACAACGTTGTCTGCGAAGGAGGAGCGGGTATTGTCCTTACAGGATCAAATTATAGCAATATAGAATGCACATGCTTCAAATCAAACGGAGAGGTTGTGCGATCAAAATTACAACACTGGGCGCTTGTGTGATAACAGGTACAACTAATGTAAACTATATAGAATCCCCATTTTGTGATTATCATCAATGCAAAATAAACATCATTTTTTTTTTTTTTTTTTACAAGTAACAATTCAATCAGAAAGACCTAAAGAAAAATCTGTGGAGAAGATATTTTAAACAGTATGAATGATATTTATATCCTACTATATTTGGGTCGTTTAGGATAGCACACCCTTTACAAAACCCTAATTGTGGACATATAATAGGCTTTAGTCATTTCTTATTCCGCGCGCGGGTCTTCCTATTTTCTCATTTTTTAACATGCTAGTTATTTACAGTCGTTCCGTCTTTCGAAACAATTTATTATCCGCCCTTTGGCGCTGGAACGACTGTAAATATTACATTGTTACTTAAATATGCTATAAGAGGGAGTTTCATTTTCGTGTTGAAATTGTGTCTACATTGTATAATTTCTTTATGTTTTTTTGAGAATCAGTTTGGTAGCGTGATGCAGCTTCCCAATGAAGCAAAAATTACAGGAAACCTATTTTCTTATAGAAGAGAATGTTAGTATTGCACCAATCCATGGTTTAAAACTCATTAAAGCTAGTTTTTATATAACATTGAGGGCTGACGTAATCATTCCAATTTTTCAGCCAATCAAATTAACCTGAAATACAAAGATTGCGTTTTTTATTTTTATTTTTCCAAAAATCTTCGATAATCGTGGATACCTTACAGTACATTTAATTTGCTAAAATAGTAAAAATTTAATGTGACTATTAGTGTGAGTTTTTTTGTATGCTAATGTTCCGTGCATTATCTGATAAAACTTAATACTTTTCAGAAAGTGATTTTAATTGATGCTATTTGTCGCCTTTTTTTTGTAATCGTCTATTGCTCAAACTGAAAATTAACTGGTTTTTAAAATGATCCATATAACAAAGTACAATTTATGCGCTGAAATTAATGATAGTGAATAAAGATTGAAAGTAATAGGGGAAGAGGTGGGGGGTAAAAAAGCACAATCAAAAGTTTTTCAATGAAATTAAATGTATTCTATTAGACAGTTTAACCCTGAAATTTTCAACACAAAATATTATATCTTTGCATTTTTAAAAACAATAAATCTTCGATAGTATAGCTAGATGTTATTCGGCAGTCGTGGGATTTTATTAATTGGGTTAATCCACAGCCATTTATAAATACCCTTTAATAACTCTTTACATTGATCAGATAATCTTTTTTTTTTATTTTTAATTGCCAACTCTAGATTCACAAATGTATTCAAGACTTCTCTTAAATTTAACAGCCTTACTGGCAGTATGCTGTCAAATAACTCAGGCGTTCTGTGTGTATAACAAGCTAGAGGGTGATCGTGTTCGTTTGTCAGTCATTGGTTCATTTACAGTTGCCCCTCCCGAGTAAAGATACATAAATACATTGATGCACATTTTTTAAAAAAAAAAAAAAAAAAAAATCCAGATACTTATATAAACCTTATTTTAACTGTAGCCGAATTTTTCATAAAGAAATTGATCAAGGTGGAAATGAATGTTGTCCATATACAAATGCTGATTGTGTCACGGGTGGTCAACGTGATTCTCTCGTCAAGTTTCATGTGAGTTAAATAGTCAATTAAGTATTTGACGTGCTGAACCAAAAAAAAAAAAAAACTTTCAATGATTTAGTTCAAATTTGCTTTTGATTTGCTTCAAATGTGGGAAGTCAATAGACGCTATACCGTGTACTGTGAAGGAGGAGCAGGCCTTGTCATTACAGGGTCGAATTTTAATAATCTAGAATCTACATGCTTCAAAGCCAATGGAGAGGTCACAAGAACAAAATTAGAAACATGGACACCTGTGTAAATGAAAATAGCATGTGTGTCATTTTATACCCTCCCACATTTTGTTCATATTCACTAGAATACATTGCAGAAATTATCCCCAAATATACCTTTTGATTTCATAAATGCTATTTTATCTAATTTATTGCTTGAAAGTGGATTGAGGGTACGTTTTTCATGTGATTTTTACATTTTATTGTTCATAGTACAGTCAAAGAGTAGGCTTCAATTGAATCTAGTTTAGGATGATTAAATAATCTATGAGTGATTGTTTTAGAAAACTTACTGATGGGTCTGATTAACAAATAACTGTAAAAAAAAAAGTCGGAGGGGCGAGGGAAAGAAAGAAAAGCACTGAATCAAAAATACTCAAAATGGTGTCATATTGACTTTAACAAGTGACACGATAATAACAATCACTGTGCGTATCACACATAAATCATTATTTTTTGTCACACGTCAAAGACAATGAAATGTCGACAGTTTTTTAAAAAAAAAAAAGGAAATAGGATGGCCCAATCAGTATCACAATAACGTAATAAAAAAAGTTTGAAGAAATATTAAATTTGTTTTTTTTTCTTTTTTCGCCAAAAGAATCAATCATGCTCTTTCTTATAAAATTACTTGCTCTACAATTATTATTCTCGCAATTCACACACGCATTTTGTGTGTATAATAGATTAGAAAGCAGACGTGTTCGTTTGTCAGTGTCTAATCCATATTCAGGCGTTCATCTTGAGTAACTAAAAAAAAAAAAACGCTCATCTATTTTTACACACAACCATCATCCTACTTATACGAGCTTATTATTCCAATTTCTATAGACATTTGTTCAGTAAAGAGGTTTCACAAGGGGGAAAGGAATGCTGTCCATACACGGATGAAGACTGCATTGCTGGTATTCGACGCAATACACCCGTCACACTCCATGTAAGTTGGATTTCAGCTCATGATTTCATACACATCTCTCAACTTAGAACTCGACGTCTAGTTTAAATTTGCTATTGATAAGCTGGCTAGGTGGGAAATGACTAGACGATACACAGGCCATTGCGAGGGAGGAGCAGGTATTGTGATTACAGGATCGAGATTCGAAGATATAGTATGCACTTGTTATAAGATAAATGGAGAGTCCATACGAGAAAACCTTGTAGATTGGACACCCACGTAGATAAACTGTTGTGATCATTTACACCATATAAGGCACCGATTAATGTGTTGATTTGACTGTAATAAAATTATGTATCAGTGGCCAAATATTCCTCTGCTAATTGTAGTTGAAGAAGAATTCATGTGTTATAGAAAAGTCCTCCCACCCCCCCCCATTTTTCTTATGATTTAAAAAGAAAAAGTCTATTTAGCTGGTACATGAGACAAAGTGAGCAAACTATTTTTTAAAATAAGATTTAACCTTCATAACTAAAAAAAAAAATGTCCCCCAGTAGGATGATCAGATAGTAAAAAGGGAAACAAACATGTAAGTTTTCAACCAAAAGAAATGAGAGAAACCTGGTGGAATTGTAAAGAGAATCTGGGAGCAGGATTCAACACAAATGAGATGTTATTGCTCTGGGGCTCTACTAAAAGACATTGAGCCTGTGTAACTATTCTACTTTTTCTCAGAGAACATGGAGCGTGTAAAATTGACTGCACAGAGATCTTTCTTTAAAAAAAAAAGGTACTACGGGAATTAATCTTCATGCCACTTTTTTTTAGATACACTATACAGGAAATCATCCATTATGGACAGCATTGCTGATCTCCCTTTATGAATAGGAAAAATTAAAGTATTGTAACTGTAAGTAAGAATATTGTGAAGGATGAAAAGAGATGAAAAGAGTAATGGGAATATGATTATACTATTTTTTACAAATAACTCATCTGTATACTTGTATGACTTAAAGATATAACAAAGATATTGTAAAGAGGCCGAATGTAAAACAAACAAATATATACCATGATCGTCTCCGATCTAGTTTAACAAGAAGAATCTGTCCGATTCGGTTAGATACCGGGTTGTCGGGGGCAAATGGTGGATGAGTAATAAACGATCCCACCAAGATGTAGTGAGATAAACAATTGAAATCGTTATAGCTTAATTGAATAACATGGTTTTTTTTTTTTACCAGATATCGCTACGATTTCAATCTGTTTTTCTTCTTCTCTCTTTTGTAAGTGTAAAGCTATCTAATTATAATAAGTGATATTTCAATCAAATGTAAATGTACACCCCTTTCTCTCATCTCTCTCCACAGACGGGTTCTATTACGGCATGTATTTTTTTTTTATCTCAATTCTTTTTTTGATGATGATCTCTAAAAATGAATAATTAAAACACGACATGGATGATTCATCCACTAAAAAAAAAGGCGACTCAAAGAGCACATCCAATTCAGTCAAGATGAGACAAAATTCACCCTACCTCTTGCGATGATCGAATTCATACGCAAAACGATCCGGGTGATATGCAATGCACCCTATAACTATTTTTACTCGCTCTTTTTTTTTTTTTTACGGATGAATGAGTGTTCTGTTTAGTAAAAGAAAGCTATTTTTTTTTTTTTTTTTGGCTGTCGTATCTATAGGCCATACAAATGTTACTGCATCATTTCAATCACAAGACATCTTTTTTTAATACCGTGAAAAAAAAAAAAAAGTATGTGGAAGCAATGCATCGTAAAAAAGATGCTAGTATCACTTGAATCACTTATTGTACCACATCCTATTACCTTGTGTGGCACCCTAAATTAATGAACCTATTTTCTATATTAAAACATACCTTTCATACGGGTAAAAAAAAAAAAAAAAAAAAACGACAGTGTTTGTAGAATATATAATTTTTTTTTATTATTTTATTTCCGCTGTATTTACAAATAGGCTGGGAGAGAGAGAGAGAGACAAAAGGGTGTGTGCGTATGTATGTGTGTGTGCTGTTAGTGTGATAGGAAAAATAAAAAGATGTCTACATGACAATACAACAACCACTTGTTCTTCCATTTCCTCCTGCGGCCGGCGCAAAAGGGTCTTCCTCTTTACTGACAGGGCCCCATAATGAAGGGATGAGAGGATCTTTGGTGGAATTACAATAGGTAATGAGACTGTCCTCCCATATATAAAAAAAAGCATTAGGATGAATTCGAACCATGTTTTTTTTTTTTTTACCTTGCGGATGCTTCAGAAACAGGAATGCGGGGTAATTCTAATTGTTCTCGTAACCGTTCATTGTATTCCAATATTCTTTTTAACTTTGCTTCGGATATGTTGTAGGACTTTTTAGAGCTCAATTGGGTATACGAGTTTGACATTGGTTTATTATTTAAAAAAAAAAAAAAAAAGCAATAAAATAAAAAAACAAAAATTTAGCGTTTTGGGTTTGCCTCTCTCTCTCTCTCTCCCTTCCCACCCCCCGCGCGCCTATAGATTTTTTTTTTTTTTTCTTTTTTTAGAAAAAAAAAAAAAAAAAAAAAAGGAATAAACTATGTATAATAAGCCACACCTTGTATTTATTACCAGTGATGCAGCAGACAACCGACCATCAACTTTTAGGAAAGCTCCCCTCCCCATCTGAAGGAAAATCAACAAATACATATACTCATCACTTTAACAAACACATGATTTAAATCGCCGACCGTGGTGTTTTTTTTTTTTTTTTTTTTCTAAACATGTTGCTGCTGCACCCTCCCCCACAGAATGTGATTTTTTTTTCACTTGTAAGTAATACATGCGGCATAAAAAAAGAGAATGCAACATGGGTAAAATCCGAATTCAGTAAAAAAAAAAAAAAGGGACTTTTTCACCGGAGGATGTTGTATGAATACTTGCCCAGAGTGACTAAATTATCCACAGCCCTCATCAATCGATGTAAAAAAGTTCTTATCTTGTGTAGGGATATAGTTTTCTTTATTTTGCACGAAGTTTTATTTGTGGTTTATGCTTGATTTTTTTTTTTGGTTAGTGCTCGAATTTTTTTTTGCTTGATGCACGAGTAATTTCGAGAAACACTGTATTTGTAGGTGAAGGTGATATACGATAAAAAGCTATGAGATTTTTTAAGGGGTTTAATTATTTGGAGAAAAAGCGATGTTCTCCCAGGAGCAATCCAAATATTCACCGTGATCATCAAGGGTAGCAATAGCATCATCAATCTTCTGCATTATCCTTGCTTTTCTTTCCTGGGTCGACCATTCTTCTGAAGACGATGACGAGCTGGAACTGGATTGGGAGGAGTGTGGTGAATCGTCTCTATAGCATATGTCAGGGGTCAGCGAGTGGGAAAGAAAAGCTAAATTGTCTTGTTTAGCAATATCAGTCATGAGCTTGATGATTTCAAGTTTCTAATTATCATTCTCTGTTAAGGTATAAATAGGAATGAGTAGCTGGTTAAAAAATGCATTTAATGCAAGAGCACATATCACTAAAGATATAACTGTTGCTAAATAGTCAGCAACTGACGCTCCCTCTTGATCATTATTGGGAATTCTGACTTCCCTTAGGACTGAACTAACAGTAACACCTGCAATGAACTTTGTAGCCGTAATTTGAAGCGTAAGCTTATTGAATTGGCATGTTACGGCAAGTGATATACTCAATACATTCGTTGTACGGCAAGAGATATTTCCAGTAGTTCAATACTTGCTCTCTTAAATGTCTGGTCTTTTCGTTGTCTTTTGAAGCACGTTCATAAGGCTTGTCTTCACAATAAAAAGCATCGTTTAGACCACTACTGTTCGTAAAAATGAATACAAGCCTGACATCTTTTGTGTTTGCATCTAGAAGACCCATATTTCGTAACGACTTAACAATTGAAGAGTGACATTCAGATCTGTAAGAGAAAAAAAAAGAAAGTTAGAATAACTATCTTAATGATACACATTCGTCTAAGCTAATTTCCTTTAACACTCATTTATATACAAAAAATAAGATATAGGATTATTGCTTTACGTCTGATATCACCATGTTTCATACCTTTTTGTTTCATAGCCTGCTTGTCCATTGAATATAAAATCAAAAACATCTCCGTATACGTTCACACGATACCAATCTTCATTATGATTACCATTTAAGACATTACGATGCCCAAAGGTTACACCTAACATGAAAAAGTAAAACTATCAGTAGATAGTTTACAAAAGTCAGTATATTAACAATGCCTAAACAGCTTTTGGACCGCCAATTTGATATACGAGAGTTCTGAATCATTACAGAACGGCATCAATCTTGTCAACGGATTGGTATAGATCTCTCTTTGTGCGGCGATTGCTGATGATATTTAAAACATTGTACTCTTCATTCTTCAGTGTCATTAGCAGCGAAAGACGATAGTGGCTGGCAAATACCATCAACCACAGTTCTTAATCGCTTGGGAATTATTGATTTTCGTGTCAAGTCTAATACACCATCAGTACCACTGTTCTAACATGATTAATACAAAAGTATCTTGTTTGGCACTATATTCAGTTCCTTTAGTTACAAGTGCTCATTCAACATCGTGACTTTATCCTCCCCCCCCCCCCAGCCAACGTCTTTGAAGTCAGTTGCTTTGAGGTACTTTCTCTTCTTTGGGCTCAGGCTGCTGTTCTTCACCGTTGCTATTATTTTCATTGTGGCTAGTTTCTAGCATTTCATCATATGCATCTTGTACTAGACTGTCTTTCAGTATTTTCTTTAATTGCTATAAAAAAAAAAGAGAGAAATAATGTTAGTATCGAGTTGAATAAAAACCAGTGACAACTCTGTTGAAACACCTTTTTGATATTAGAGTTGATCAAGGATAAAGCAGGTCTTGAGTCAATAACAAGGTCGCACTGAGGCATGCAGTACAATTGCTCTTCTTTTTTGCGCCATTCGCTACAGTGGTATCATCGGCTTTTTTCATTTCAAAATGAAAATAAAAAGCTCTTTATTTTGGGTTTTGTTGTGCTTGCTTCATTAAAGTGATATCGATCACTGATCATCTCAAGCATGTTCATATTTGTCCATGTTTTTGAGGGGGAATTCGATTTTAAATCATTCCTTAGAAGATCAAAGTCAGCTGCAAAAAAAAGATAGTTCATAAACTTTGTCTCTTATGTTTTCGTTAAACGTATTTTTTTTATACCACTTACAGAAACTCCAGCCAAGACCAGCAGGCCAGTATGCTTACGAACTATTTACAGTGCAGTCACAGCCATTCACGGTTCTTGAGTTCCAAAAACTCAAGAACCCTGCCAAAAAAAGGTCGCCCTCCTATAGCAAAGACTAGCCGCAGCCGCAATATCACAATATATATCTTTTTTTTTCAATTTAGCTTCTTTTCAAAGAAATACAAGAGTCACTACTAAACTAACCTTTTTATGTGATCGGTTACTTTTATACGATAAAAGAAGCATGTTAAGGGAAAAGAAAAGGAAAAGAATAAAGTGTGTGAACCCAGCTTTATTTATAGATAAACAAGCTTATGTCAAGATGATTTCATTTGTCTATTTTATCATCCATAATGTTTTGAGCCTTTACTTAAAATAGAAACACTTGCAAACAACTCCCAAGCAAGTCAGAGCTTGGTACATTATTGTCTATACGTGTTTCAGTAGTAACTTGTAATGACAGTGAAGCAGATTTTTTATGGAAAACAGAAATCGATCATCCCATGAAGTTTAGATGATATGGCATGTCAATCGACGTGTAGACCATCGCGTGATTCTAAAAAGTACGTTTATTTGAAAAAAATACGTTTGAAAAAAATACGTAGTTCTAGACATTTCCGTTTTGGACAGACGAAAATTCGTAATCGTTTGTTTTTTCTATTATATGAGTCCATAGGTAATCTAACTGAATCGCCTCTCAAGCTGCTTACTTTCTACTGATATTCCATAATTCTATTATAAAGCACGTATAAAATAACACAGAAGATAGTCAAAAGCAAACATAGAAAGGTAAGATAAAAAAACATTTTTTGTCTGGAAGGATGATGGATCTCTCGCCTTTGTAAGTTGTACATCGCGGCCGTGTATCGCTGTTCCCTCACTGCACAGGTATCTCATTTTTTTGCGGAAACTATTCGGGAGGCATTATCTTTGCATATGTCTGAGAGTAGACCTTCAGCTTAAATGAGGGAATGCCTCAACTTCCTGACTTTTTTTTTTTTCTTTTTTTTCTTTAGCGTCTTTGACTAATACTTTCCATCGATGTACCACGTCTACTCTAACTTTCTTGGTAATGAATGTGCTCTTGCATTAAATACATTTTTTTTTAACCAGCTACTCATTCCTATTTATACCTTAACAGAGAATGATAATTAAAAACTTTGAAATCATCAAGCTCATGACTGGATATTGCTAAAAAAAAAAAAAGACAATTTAGCTTTTCTTTCCCACTCGCTGGACCCCTGACATATGCTATAGAGACGATTCACCACACTCCTCCCAATCCAGTTCCAGCTCGTCATCGTCTTCAGAAGAATGGTCGACCCAAGAAAGAAAAGCAAGAATAATGCAGAAGATTGATGATGCTATTTGTTACCCTTGATGATCACGGTGAATATTTGGATTGCTCCTGGGAAGAACATCGCTTTTTCTCCAAAAGTCACAGCCCTTTCAAAAAAAGAAAAGAAAAAAAAGGGCCAGGTGGGCACTCCTCGACAAAAAACCAGAGAAAGGGGAAAGGTGGAACTGTAACAGGACACTATTTCAACTTTGTCGCTGAAACAATAAAGATAATAGAATCAATATGAAGAGTTCAAAGGGCCAGTATCTTATAACTGCCCTATTCATAAATCATGGTGACATAAGAAAGTAGATCGAAGCTCATAGTTATGGCTCTGTTTATCTTCCTCCCTTACTCACCCAAACTCAATCCAATTGAGCAGTTTTTGGTCCCTGTTTGCAAGAGTAAAAGTCAAGAGGGGAAGCAACTTTTGGGGAAGAGGAGACATTGTCCTCAAAAAATTTAGGGAAAGCTTTAGCAATAAAGTATTTGATCAGCGAACCTGCAAGGGCTTTTGTAGATCTTCAGTAGATAAAATTTGAAGTTTGCTTAAACAGGCAACCTCTTTAATAAAGTTGATGCATGAAGTTTTTGCACGAAGTTTTTATTTGATTTGTGCACGAATATTTATTGTGCGTTTATGCTTAGTTTTTTTTTTTTTTTTTTAGCTAGTGCTTGACTTTTTTTTTTGGTTAGTGCTCGATTTTTTTTTTTTTTTTTTGCATGATGCATTCACTCAGCGCTCGACTTTTTTTTCGTCAGGTGCGCGAGCTTCTGCCCCCCTCCCGCAGTCTTAAAAAAAAGTTTTGATCCGCGACTGAAAAAAAAAAGATGGATAATCTGGGGGTGTACGATAATCTAAATAAAAAAAAAAAAAAGATGAAAATCACACACTCATTGAGCTTCATATGTTGTTAACAAAAGATCGAATGTGTCCATTTTTTTTTTTATATACAGATGATTGGAGAAGATCACACGACTGTCATGGTAAAGCTCCCCCCCTGATTGCTATGTATTCTTGTATCCAATCAACCCCCCAAAAAAAAAAAGAAAGGCCGTAGATACATATATTCACGTTGCCAGGATAAAATGAAATATCGTATGCCACGACAAAAAGTCTCAAGTGCGGAGTTACTTTGTGCAACATAAACGTCAATGCTTGTATCATAAAAAATATCTTATGAATCAAAAAAAAAAGGGGGTTGGGGGGGGTGGCAACCCCCTCTCGAGCCAGAACAATAAGAATGAAGGAAGAAAAAAAAATCTCCTAAACAAACAAAAAAAAAACCTTAAAAAGTGTACTTTACTGATGGCGCTTTTCTTTCAAGCACTGTTACACAATACGATAATCTAATCTCTTTTCTTAAAAAAGACATAAAGGTTTAGATTCTTTCTTTTTTTTTTTTTATATATTTCATTCTTTTTTTTTTTTTCCTTACACTAAAAAAAAAAAAATCCCTTCCCCCCCCCCTCTCAACTCCATAGGATGCTTTTATCATTATCTCGAGCAACCAGAGTTTATAAAACACATACAGCCCGTTTCATGCCTAGTGTGTATCATCGCGCCTACACGACAGAAACTGATTCACAAAACCTAATTGAAAAAATTGTTCAGAAATATGCTTTGGATTTACCTGAAGGATATCAAGTCAAGAGTGGTGATTATGTTACCATTCGTCCTCATCATGTCTTGACCCATGATAACACCGGTGCCGTCATTCCCAAGTAAGCCCCATCCCCCCCACACACACACACATAACGACAACAACTAACACAAACCGCATCCTTTTTTTTTTATACAGGTTTAAATCGATTGGCGCAACAAAGATTCATGATCCCAAACAACCCGTTTACGCTCTTGACCACGATGTTCAAAACAAGACGGATAAGAATTTAATGAAATACGCCAATATTGAAGCGTGGGGTAAAGAACAAGGTGTGGATTTCTATCCTGCCGGTCGTGGTATTGGACATCAAGTGATGATTGAAGAAGGATATGCTTTCCCCAACACATTAACGGTAGCCTCGGATTCTCATTCCAACATGTATGGTGGTATTGGTGCTTTGGGTACGCCCATTGTACGTACCGATGCCGCTGCCATTTGGGCTACAGGTCGTACCTGGTGGCAAATCCCACCTGTCGTCAAAGTTCAATTGGAAGGTCAACTTCCTACTGGAGTCACAGGAAAGGATGTGATCATTACCTTATGTGGCTTATTCAACAAGGATCAAGTCTTGAATACCGCCATTGAATTTCATGGACAAGAAGCTTTAAAGGGACTTTCGGTGGAGGACCGTTTAGCCATTGCCAATATGACGACCGAATGGGGTGCATTAGCCGGTGTTTTCCCTGTGGATGAAGCAACCATTGATTTCTTACGTAAACGTCAACGTCGTATTGATTTCACTCGTTTTGAAAATAAGAATTTGGTTCAACCAAACAAGGGAGAAGAGTTTGTTCATCCTCGTATTAATGATAAAACCATTCAAGCACTTATCGATCATCCTCTACGTGCTTCCCCTCATGCTACCTATGCTAAAACCTTGACCTTGGATCTTTCCACTCTCTCACCTCATGTCTCGGGTCCAAATTCTGTCAAGGTAGCAACGCCTTTAGCTGAACTTCAATCCCAAGCCATCCCTATCAATAAGGCCTATCTTGTCTCTTGTGTCAATTCACGTGCCAGTGATCTCAAGCAAGCGGCTCAAGTACTGAAAGGACAAAAGATCAAAGAAGGTGTTGAATTTTATGTAGCTGCCGCTAGTTCTGAAGTTCAAAAGGAAGCCCAAGAAGCAGGTGATTGGGATATCTTGGTCAAGGCGGGTGCTAAAGTCTTACCGGCTGGTTGTGGACCTTGTGTTGGTTTAGGTACAGGTCTTTTAAAGGATGGAGAAATTGGTATTTCTGCTACCAACCGTAATTTCAAGGGTCGTATGGGATCACCCAGTGCTTTAGCTTATTTGGCTTCCCCTGCTGTCGTAGCTGCTTCTGCTCTTTCTGGTATCATCTCCGGTCCCGCCTCTACTACATTAGCTGAAGATGTCAAACCTAGTTTTAGTATCGAAACAAGTACACCCAAGGTATCCTCCGAGGCTACTACTACTAGTGCTGCTGAAGTGCTGCCTAATTTCCCTTCCATCATCAAGGGAGAAATTCTCTTTTGTCCTGCAGATAATTTAAACACGGATGGTATTTATCCTGGTAAATACACTTACAATGATGATATGACACGTGATGATATGAAGAAAGTGGTGATGGAGAACTATGACCCTAATTTTGTGAACCTTGTGCAAGGTGGGGATGTGCTTGTGGGTGGTTATAACTTTGGTACGGGATCTTCGCGTGAACAAGCGGCTACTGCGATTAAATCCCGTGATATTCAAATCATGGTGGCAGGATCCTATTCGGATATCTTTAAACGTAATTCAGTGAATAATGCACTCTTGTTGATTGAATCACCTGAATTGGTCAATGATTTGAAGTCCGAGGTGGGTACCCACGATTTGACCAAACGTACAGGATGGAAAGTGGAGATTCATGTAGCGGAAGGCAAAGTGGTTGTACGTAAAGAGAACGGACAAGAGAAATTGTACAAGGTGGGAGCTCTTGGTAAGAGTGTACAAGAGATTTGGTTGGCAAATGGTCTTGAAGGCTGGGTCAAGGAAAGATTGTAGCTTGTTTAATAGATTTGTATATATACCAAAAAATAAAAATAAAAAAAGATTTTTTTTTTTATTATAATGTCTTTCCCATCTCTAGCTTCTTTTTATATGCTTTTTCAGCTCTATAAACTACACGATCAATTAATCCAGCAACAGTAAAGACACCCCCTACAATAGCTAATACACTAGTCAAGAAACTGCCAAATGATTTTCGAGATTCCTTGTAAGTGATTTGCATAGGTGATATATCGATATTGAAAAATGCTCCGGGTAAACCAGACATGGTCTCTGTCATCACAATATCATTTTCGGTCACTGAGAATTGGTTGGTGAAAGTAGGGATATCATGCATGGGTTCCAGTTTAGTAGAGACAATCTTTAAAAAGTATTGATACATGACACGAGCTTAAATAATGATGAATAGGATCAGACAAAATGGGGGATTCTATCATGTTATAAAAATAAGGGGTGTGTGTGTGTTACCTTGATGAGCCGTCTTGGTGGTACCAGCTAAAGGATCGGTTGCAGCAGAAATGGCTTCGGAGGTTAAATGTGTATCAGGGCCAAACTTTAATTTATGAATGATATGCGATAAATCAAATTGATGGCCATCGGGAGCCCCATCGGAGAACTCCTTGAGATCATGGATATGCATACTGGATGTTTGAAAGGCTTCCCCTGGTGCAAAATGAAAATTACCACGTACTTTATTCACCCATAAATTACCAAAGACGTTACAACCTTCATTGGAACGCTTTTGAACACGATCAATCCAACCTTCGGCAATACATTGATCAATGATGTTTACATTGACCATACCCCAACCAGATTTTACATAGGCTTCACGTACATCTTGACATGTGTTACAACATCCATCTTCACGTAAAGAAACCGCACCATAACAACTACCACATTCTTTTTGGGTTCCTAATGCCTTTACCACATCCTTTGTATTATCTCCCAACTCTATTTAAGGGAAGTCATTTGTTAAACATCGGATGATGACAGAATGAAAGGGGTAAAACTTACTCACAGTTTCTCCCAGCTCGATTTCTTTGCCTGATAAATCCAATCTGACCTTGGTCACATCTTGAGAATAACCTGATGAATGTTCTCCTGTATCATCCATAATATCTACATTCAGTACTACATGCGGGCAAAAAAAAAAAACTGTTATTGACACGGGGTGTGCTTTCAACAAAAAAAAAGTGGTTGTTACTTACAATGACAAGGCATGTGAGGAAAGGTAATATTAAAATTAATAGCCATTTTCTCTTTTCGACTCTGATCCACCACAAGGCTCGGTCGCCAGATGGGTGTGGTATATGCCATCAGTTCAAAGCAAACCAATGTAAGAATAATAAGTGTACTCATAAGTGTCACTGTAATACACACAAGATGATGAGTATTTGTTTTTGGCTTCTCTCATGCGAGAAAAAACTTACCGGAAGCACCTGTTGTCGTCTTGACACGAAAGTCATCCAAAGTCTTTGCATAGCCATCCAATTGACGTAAATTGCCAAAGACAGACCCCTTTTTCGCCATTCCTTTTTTTTATATTTATAAAAAGAGAGAGAGAGAGAGTAAAAGTTGCCACCTTTTTTATTTCTTTTTTGCCACTCGCCCTATATTTTAAATTAACTCGTCACGTGGAGAATTTTTTTTTTTTTTTTTTTTTTAACCTTTTTCTCTCTCTCTCTTTTTCTACATTACATTGTTTCAACATGTCGAGTTCAACAACACATACTACACGCACAAACACAAAGGTATACTTAACAAAGAAAAAAAAATAAGGGGGTGGGGGGAAATGAGAAGTAAATAATGTATTTATAAAAAGAGGTTGCACCGTAGAGATTGTACATTGGTAACTTGGACGAAACCATAGACGAGTGAGTATATGCATAGGGACACGCTTCCCCCATGCCTCCTTTTATTTTGTGACGCTCATGCGAAAACTTGTAGTTATGCCATTGTAAAGATATTTGAAAAGTATGGTAAAATCACATTTATCGATAATATGGTGCATTGGCAAGGACCCAAGAAAGGTTTACCTAGAGGCTATTGTTTCCTCGAATACGAAAAAAAGGAGGTAAAAAAAAAAAAAGAAAAACACATGAGGGGATATATAAAAAAAAAAAACTGATGTGGATGACGTATATAGAATGCACTGACTGCTATTAATGCGTTACATGGTAAAACAATGAAGGGCAAATCACTTGTTGTCTCCTTTGCACACATGGTAACCCAAAAAAAAAAAAAAAAAAAAAAAAAAAATCATGCATTGTTACGTCTTAATTCCTATATATAGACACCAGAGCAAGACGACGCTAAAAAACGTGGCTTTAGCGGTCGACCAAATTCGCTGTCAATTTTACGAGGACACAAGCTTAAAGATTCCAGGTACCCTTTTTTTTTTTATATATATATTCATTGCACATTCACATACTAAACAAAACAAAAAAAAAAGTACGGATGCTAAAATTCTAGCCATCGAAAGAAAATTAAAACTTTTACAAAAACCAACAACAGATACAACAACAACCAACAGCAATACAAATCGATACAAACCCTATTAAATTTCCCCCCCCCCCTTCACAACAGATACCGCATGAATTTTCTTTTAACTAAATTATCGTTCAATGCCCGCTTATAGTTTTTTTTGAACAAAAAAAAAGATATATAAATCACACTTTTTTTTTTTCATTCTCTCTCTTCTTCTTGTTTATTCTTAAAGTAAACAAATTATGCTAAGAAACCCTACTGAATACCATTTGATGGAATCCTATCAAATGGATCAATACCTTTCACCCTTCTTATCCCACCACCCCTTGGAGGAAAATTCAATGTTAATTCCGCAGCAACAGCAGCAGCAGCAGCAGCAGCAGTTGCCCGAAGACCGGTTTTCGTATGCGCCTTGTTTAGACTATCTATCATGGATGGACGTCTACCACCATTCACCATCCGAGACAGACAGTCGACAAGACTATGAATCTATTCAAAAAAAGTAAAAAAAACCAAATCATGAAGAGGGGTGTTTTTAAATGTCGATATTAAATAATTATTTTTATTTTATTGATCTCTCATAAAGTCATCAGCTCTTGGCTGAAAAGAAGCGTCGTAGAAGAGAATCTCATAACGCAGGTAATTTAAGATTTGTTTTTTTAGCTAAAAGGCGAAAGAGAGGGAACGGGGGACAACTAATACTTTTAAAAAAAAAAGTGGAGAGAAGGAGGCGAGAGAATATAAATGAACGAATTCAAGAACTAGGCACCATGTTACCCGAAGCGCAAGAAAAAGAATCCGTCGTAGGCGGGAATAAAGGAGCTATTTTAAGAAAATCCGTAAATCATATACGAAATTTACAACGCGATGTTGCTCTCTATAAACAACGCATTCATGAATTAGAATCCCAACTAGCTAGTATATAAAAAAAAAATAACCTTATTCTATTGTTGTTGTTGGGGGGGGGAGGGCTTTTTTTTTTTTTATGTGTGGTTCTGTTTGTAATTTATGCATTTCGAGCATGATGGAGATTGCATCATTTGCCAATCTCCGAATGATTTTAAAATAATAAAAAAAGAGAGGTTTTTATTAGCACACATTCCCCCCCCCCCCCCCTCAAATTATAGAATACCCTCATTTTCTCATAGGAATACACCAGTCTAAAAAAAAAAAATTCGATTTGTGCTGAATGCAAATGATATAGTTAATGGGTGGGGGTGTAAAAAAGGGGGTTGGGGGGGGGGGAGATATATGTATATATATAATAATAATAAAAAAAAAGGGTGTAATATGTGTGATTGGGGGAAATTATATAGAAAAAAGTAAAAAGATATATAAAAAAAAAATTATAACAATATGGAAAAATCTTTATAAGGTGGTATTGGAATAGGCTTTTTTTCTTTCTTTCTTTCTTTCTTTTCTTTTTTTTTTTTTACTTATCGACATTGCCAAAGTTTAATTGTTTGATCGACACTACCTGTTGCAACAACAGGACTGGTATGACAGTAACTATTTGGGACGAATGAGTTATAGAGGTAGAATAATAATAATAATAAAAAAAAAAGAAGAACTTACGCTATGCAGGTTACAAAATGTGAATGAGCTTCCAGTGTTTTAGAGCATCGTCCAGTCTTTAAATCCCAAATCTTGATTGTTTTATCATCCGAAGCACTCAGCAAGTATTTTCCACTGGGATGAACCACCAATCCTCGAATCCAATTATCATGTCCAACCTAAAGTGTGTGTGTGTGTTAACTTCTATTTTTTGTCATGCTATGCCCCCCTTATGATTTACCATATTGTGTAATAATTGTCCATTTGTATTCCAGATCTTTATTGTTTTGTCTCTGGATCCCGTAATAACATACTGTCCGGGTAACTGGTCTTTTGATTTATTCTATTCACCCCCCAATTCTCTAACGTCAGTAACAGCGAACACACTCGTTTTCTTTTTTTAATATAATGCAACTACCTCATCACCAATTAACTCTTGAATATACGGGTATGAATTAATGGGTGCAAAAATAGCACATTCAAGTACATGCTCATGACCTCTAAATTCCATTTTTGACTCTCCCGTTTGAATATCCCAAAGTCTCGCCGTCTAAATCAAACAAAACAAAAAAAGTATTAGCCACTCATTCTCTCTTTCTCTCTCTCTTTCTCTCCTTCTTGCTTACTTGATCGTTGGATGCTGTAATCAGATATCGACCATCTTCACTGGGTACAACTGATCTTACCCAATCCAAATGTCCACTTAATGTTCGCAAGCAATAACTAGTAAAAGAAAAGTTGCGTTTAGTGAGTCGCCTAATTACAACAAATATATATATTTTTTTTTTGGTTGCTACCCTGAGGAGGCGTCCCATAGTTTGATGGTTTTGTCACGTGATGATGATAGGATGGTGTCGCCCGAAGGTAAATAATCAACTGAAGATACACTATGGTCATGACCAAACAAAGTCTTGATACAGTTGTAATCGTTATTGACATCCCATACCTTGATTGTGAGATCAGCGGAACAAGACACTTTTAAAAAAAGAAGAGAATGAGAAAGATAGACTTAATTTAATTTGCAGAGTAAACTGTACCAAGGAAATTGCCTTTGGGATCAAAAGCGATATCTTGTACAGCCTTTGTATGCCCTTTCAATGTTCTTTCGAATTCACCCGTTTCATAATCCCAAATTTTGATAGTTGAATCTTCAGAAGAGGATGCTAAGATTTGATAGACAGGATGAAAGACGACACGAGTGATTGGACTCCTATGACCTGTCATGCTCTGTTTCTCAGGGGCGCGAGGGATCCAATCGACTGAACTTGTTTGTTTCCGGATAGGTGCATTATTGATTTCTTCCTGCATTTGTGCTGACTTTGTTTCCAATTCCATGATCTTTTTTTTTTTTTTTTTTTTAGAAATGTATTAGTTTAACCCACCCAATACTATCTTTTTAAATAATCAAACCTTCTTTTGTAATCGTATAACTGAAGTCCACTTCTTTTCTAATAAACCCGAATACTTTTGCTTTGGGTCAGAGGCGAAATTTTCGTTATGTGTTTCAGATTTCAAAGTATTAAAGGATTCTGTAAATCCACTCGCACTGAGGTAATCCAATATAGCCTTGTGTCTAAAAGAGTTTTTTTTTTTTTTTTCATGGGTTAATGCTAGCACCATCATGACGTTTCTTTCTCATCCTCTAGTTAAGAACGCCTCATCTTTCTCCATTGACCACACACAGAGAGAACCCCCCCCCCTTTTTTTTTAAATTAATAAACTTACAACTCATCTTTCTGGCGATCAGAGAGAATACTTGTCATGATTAGATGAAATATTCAACAAGAATTTTTCTAGTAAGTTATAAAAAAGTTTAATATAAAAAGAAAGAGAGTAAGAGAAATAAAAAAAAAAAATGTTTTTTTTTTGAGTTACAAAACAGAGTGACGCAAAGAAAAAAAAAAAAGATGGCTGGTATTCCATCACTTGACTTTTACTGTTGTAAACGGAAGTCTCTTTACGGAATGCAAAAAAAAAGCACTGGTGATTCATCTATGCTGTTGCCCTATCTTTTTTATTTTTATTTTTTTGAAACCCGGAGAGTAAGAATGGCTCATGCAGCTCTCCTACACACACAAAAAAAAAAAAAAAAAAAAAAAAACCCAAAGTTCTTAATTGTTGCACCAAAAAAACCTCTTGGATTCAGACATTTTCCGGACAGGCACAAAAAAAAAAAAAAAAAAAAAAAAAAAAAAGATGCCCATGGTGGATATTCTAAGCAAATTTATATTCTGGGTATCAACCCTATTTCTTTTCTTTTTTAAAAAAAACAGAGCGTTTGGTTTTTGATGAGGATGACACGATTGGATAAAAAATGGAGAGGCATCTAAGATGATTTATAGGTTTTCAATTAAAAAAAAGAAAGCTCCCAAAACAAGAATACATTGTTCTACCGTGCTTATCCAGAGCATCCAAGTCATTCCAAGCAAAAAATAGAAAAGTAACCATAGTTTGATTACATGTCATGCTTGTAGTATGATCTTTTTGTTATCTACACCCGAAAAAACCTTTTTTTTTTAAAAAGACGATTCATATAGTGATATACAAATGTGTGCATTATTCTAACGCATTTGACAATCAATCGAACACATATAAAAAGATAAAGGTGAGATTGATATTTTACAAGGTACATCTATATCAGTAGTGTTTTCATACCTTGTCTATAAGAAAAACGTGTGTATGATGTGCTCGACCTACAGATTATGTATGAAATATACTTCACTACTTTATGTAAATCTCACCCCGTATTGTATCCTTCATGGAAGGAACTTTTTTTTTTTTACAACGTCAGATAGAAAAGAAGAAAAAGCATGAACAATATAAATAACTGATATGGCTTCATGCTAAAGCACAAAAAAAAAAATTTAAGTTCCCCCAATGAGTGTATGATTCTTTTCGTCTTTCACCTTGTTCAAGTCAGGGAAACGAAAAAAATAAAATAAAAAAAATATTTAACAACGAAGAAAAAAAAAAAGGTGATACTTTGAACAAAAAGACATATTCAGTGTGACAAAGCCGGGGTTGTAAGAAAGTTCCTACCCAGAAGGAAATATTTCAGAGAGACTCAGCCCTATCACTCTGAAAAAGTTTAAATATGAATACGACCTATTTGACCTTTATATGTGTCACTTGAACTAGACGATTGAATACAGAAGACTCCAAATCCTTACATAAATTTTCATGTAGTTAGCAAATGAGACCCTTAAATAATAACGATTGTAAAGACTTCATTTACAGCACACTATCCGTCAAGTCCTAACACACATATGTATTATTCAACTGAAATTTAGGATAGATTCACCAACTCATATGATCTTGTTTTTCAAACGTTATATCAGACTATGTATAAGACTCCCATCATGTACAGTCAAAGACTCCGTATCTGATACAAAAAGACTACTGCTCCAATAACACAAAGGCTATAACTACAAATGATCTGTTCAGTATTTTGACTGTGCGTTAATCGTCACTTTGAATTTTGTGGGAAGTAAAAAAAAAAAATTGCAGAGTTTGGTTCATTTCCTAGATACGCCTAGAATGAAATGACAATTCATCAAACTAGATTCTCAGCAAATCAGTTCGTTCTTCCTATTTAGACAAGGCACAATTAAGCGGAGCATCCGGTGTGCTCCATTTATCGATTGTTGCTTTTTCGGTTGTCATTTCCGATTTTAGAATTTACAAAAATCCCAAATTACCCTCACGGACAATATTAATTATACTTGAAGCATAATTGCATGAGGTGTAAGAATATATCGATACTTTGAGTGTTCATAATGTATTTGAAAACGAAATAGCAACATTGATGAGATCGACTTCCTAAGTTGGTTCTTATTCAGAGTGAGGGGGGGGGGTGTTGTTTCTCACTGAGCTAACCGAGGTTATTCCATGTTTGTCCTTACAGTTCAAAGGATTCACTAAGATTACATATTATTGTTGTCACCCATCAGGTTGTCAGCAATATCCAGTCTAATTACATCCTCAATATCAGCCATATATTTACTGTCAAAGGGCTCGATATTTGGTTTGTAACCTTTGTTACCATACATCGGGCAATTGCTCTCATGTATGTCATCCTCCTCGTTTATACTCTATGGATATGTCTCATATTCTCATTTGAAAAGTACCCAGATTGGTGTTCAGTGTCATTGACCTTTGTAATCAAAATTCGAGTCTCGCATTGCCTCCCCCTCCTCGTTTCGTCAGTGGGGGCTGTCCCCAATTTTTTTTTTTTTTTTTTTTTTTTTTTTTTGGTCTTGATTCCACTATGATACTACTTAAAATACGTTTTTTTCGATAGGTCTACATCCTCATACTGATATTGAGACAGGACTTTTTATTGTGATATCCGATCCATATCTTCTGTCCCATGAGTTGTCTACTACAAATTGTAATCACGAATGTGTTTAAAATAGGCTAAACATACGCGCACCATAGTTTTTGTTGGCGCACCATACTTTTTGATGAAGAAAATCAATGTGGTTTCGAGTGTGAACTCATGCTTTTAGTCTAAATTTTATTTTGATTTTGGGTTTTGATTATAATGAGATAAAATATATAAGTTTGGAAAAATATTAAGGATTGGGGAGTAAATTATAAAAGTATCCTGTCTTAGTTGTTTTGAATTTAATTAGACACGTCGTTGACACAACATGTCTTAGTGCGCTTCGAATGCTTTTTGGTGAGAAAAGTTAACTGGTTTTAGCCCCCCCCCCCCTCTTTTTTTTTGGCTTTAAAAGCCTTCTTCGCTTTGTTGTCGAATTGAGGCAAAATCATATAAAAATAACTGTTGGAAAACAAAAATTGAAAGGGATCATTCCTTGTTTCGAAATCCCAGAGACCAAGAAGTGGTACAAAAATAAGCGTATATATATCACAGCGGGCGCACCAAATGGTAAAATGTTGCTAAAACACACCATGATTGATTGCTTAAATGGCCGATTTAAGCAATCAATGATGGTGTATTTTGTGTAAATTCACAATGAATGATTGCTAAAATCACATTGAATAGTCGTGCGTTTTTCACATCCAATGGTTGGTTTTCTATCGCTATACGCTGTTTATTTATACATGTATTTGGGCCTTTTACCAAACGCACATTGCGTTATTATTCGTATCTACAGATGCATACCTTTTAAAAATACACGCTTATTCAACATTAGTTTATTAACTGTTCACATTAATGTGCTTCTTCCATAGGAAATATCGTTTAAAAAGACGTTTAAAAATGATTTATTTGTATTTCTTTTGAGATTTTAAATTTGCCCACAAAAAAAAACATCTAAATATATGACATGCAAATATATGGGCTATAGCGCCTTTAATTAAGTGAATAAGGGGTGAATTACATCATAAATATAGACTAGAATTTTTTACAAACTTTTATTTTAATATAAAAAAAAAAGCACACGATTTCAGGATCTTTTTTGATCCTGTACAACGTATTCTGGCTGTCATGCATCTCTTTTATTTGTTAAACCCAGAGAGCGGAATTCGGATTGAAGGTTAATTTATTAGCATGATTTTAAACTAAAACCTGAAACAGGAGATCGTGTATATACTTGACACTACACGGATGAAATATATGGTTTTTCGTTGTTACTGAGAAACATCAGTATTGGCAACAGCATGGATACACTATATTGACTAGTAATAGAATATTATAATCTGCCGGTGTCTGTGGCGGTTGATGTTTACAGAATTTGTTTATGGTCATTACTATTTTAAATACATGTCGTCATCTGTTTACATAGATTAAGTAATGAAAAAAAAGATTAAAAATCTATATAGCGTTATCTATTGGCTGTCACCGGATTCATTCATATAGAAGCTTCTCGACCCCCAGATAGTACTATTTGGCGTGGAACATACGCCCCCATTATGTTATGGTAGTATAAGGCTACTTATATATATCTTTTTATATTCAGTAGGACCTCGACATTCATGTAAAGTAACCAATGCGTTAATAAAACAAAAAAAACTGGGAGTCTTGTCTGTTCCATTATAAATTCTGACAGGTGTCGATGTTTTTTGGGGTGTTTAGAGTGAAAAAAAAAAAAAAAGAAAAAAAGACAAAAAACACCTCACAAGATATCTTTGGCAGATGAAGTATATAATCACTATAACCTCGTCCCATAAAATAATAAGTTTCACGTACTCTCAAAATGTGTCGTTATTAAAGGAAGCAGATGAATACTTTATCAGGCCTTTTGGAAGGATCATATACTTTTTTTTTAGACCATAAAAAAAAAAAAAAAAAAAAAAAGGACAGGATGTTTTCCTTTTCTTCAAGGCATACCCGTCTATGGTCTCTCAACAAGAAAGCTCTCAACAAGAAAATTACACTTAAAAAAGATAGATGCACACATGAAAGTAGAAATGAAACTTTACTTTATTATTATATAAAAAAAAGGAAAAAAAAGGTTGAGAGAGACAAGAAAGATGGGGATGAAGTCACCAAAATAAAGTCTTCGTACTAGTATCAGCCATCCTCTATCAGAATCATTTGCTCGCCTAGGTGAAATTAAACCATCATTTACAAAGGAAGCAAATTAATACCACTAGGTATCAGTAAAGCTATTACGGTCATATTCATCCGATAGAGGTTCTTTATCCATGAAGAAGTCATCCCTTACTAGTAACAATAGGCCGCAATAACTACTATACTTGAGTTATTGAAATGGATAAATAAAATAATGAAAGGGGAAAAGGATGAAGTCCCCAAAATAAAATCTTCGTACTAGTATCAGTCATCCTCTATCAGAATCATTTGCTCGCCTAGGTGAAATTAAACCATCATTTACAAAGGAAGCAAATTAATGCCACTAGGTATCAGTAAAGCTATTACGGTCATATTCATCCGATAGAGGTTCTTTATCCATGAAGAAGTCATCCCTTACTAGTAACAATAGGCCGCAATAACTACTATACTTGAGTTATTGAAATGGATAAATAAAAGAATGAAGAAGAAAAACAAAGAAAAAGATAATTTCTCATCTTATATAATCTTTTTTTTTTTTCTGGGTTACACGTATTTCTAAATTCACAACTGCGCAGGACTAAAAAAAAAAGACGTGTAGTGTCCTGACTTATCATTGATTCGAACGTTAAGTTCCTGTAGCGATTGTATTCTAAAAACCAATCATGTACCAAATATTATAGAAAAAAAAACTATACTCGTGTTCTATTGTTCAAAAAGAACATCGGTTGTTTAAGAGAAAGAGAGAAATTAGGAGTGTGTTGCCATGGGTGGGGCAGGAAAAAAAAAAAAGGATCTTATACAAATTCAAGTCGACCAATAAGACACTTGTCACAAAACTTTTCTCTTTCTTTTTGGTTTTTCACAATTGCAAGTTCATTCAGACTGGATCTGTTTATGGCAGCGATTCCACCTTTAGCTTCCTAAAGTTTACGAGACCACATAGCACTTCAAATATGAAGGGGTACTTTTTCTAATTTCCGCTATTTCTTTTCGTATCAAAAGTATACACGAAATGACTAGATTATTATAAGCGACAACGAATGAGACTTAACCTCTCCACTACCTAGAGGTTGCTTGTGGAAAGGGCTTAATGAAGCAAAAGACAGACGAGTTGATAATGTCAGACCTGAAAAGGAACCCCCTTCCGAAATCCGATCCCGAAAGCAAGAGGGAAACATCACAATCCTTTGTAGTAACGTAAACAGAACATCGCCAGTTATTCATCAGTAAATTGTATTTGGCATTCATTGGGGATGAAAAAAAAAATGAAAGGGAATTAGGCGGCAAAGCTGAGACTTGGTAAAACTCTGACGACGTAAAGCTCGAAACCACACATCAGGACCCACATGGCTAAAGGTATTCACGGTAATTGGCATGGCAGCGAAAATCACTTTAGGTAGGCATCTTTGGATCTAATGTTGTAAGGCTGTCTTTTTAACAATGTAGACAAATAGTATCAGAGTTGGTTGCAGGTACACACGCTACGAAAGTAACAAGCCCTGCTTTACCGAATTGGCCATAATTGGTATGATATTGGAGAACTCAAACTATAATACTACTATATAGTAAGAGTAATTTCTGGGTTTACGTTCAGTAAACTAAATGTGTCTTCTCCGAGAAACCCTCCAAGTATGTAATGGGAAGAGAATCGCGCTCAAATATATAGATCAGGAACAGGAGAAACAATCTGCTGCTGAAAGAAAAAATACCGTGCAAGAATAGTTCAAAACGAAAGTTCAACAACTGGTAAAATTATGACACGCTGAAGTTGGCCAAGTTCACGTAATTGATCAGTAGAAACCTCTGTAAGCCTTATCTTGATCAAAAATAAACCCTACATAAACTGAGGATACATCATGTTTTATGTAAAAGTATGCCGTGCTAAAATTGTGTTACGATCTACTGGGACAGCAGCATGGATAGTTATTGTAGCTACTTAACGACCACCCTAAATGTATTTATTGCTTCCAGAGGACGAACCAGAATAACCACAGTATCAAAGTCAGATGCTTTGAAGTCTGCATGTCTATATCTGTGTGCTTATTCCGTACTTCAAGAACATAAAAGTGGTTAAACAGATATATAACATATGAAGGTTACATTGGATGCTAATATGTTGGTTTCACGTAATCATCAAATATCGGCTTTTACCGTAATTATAGGTATGTTAGTGAAGGGCACTACTAATTGAATTTTATATACAAGATAAAGTAAACAGGGATCTATCTACACCTTTTAAAAAAAAAATAGCGTAAATAAAAGACTTTCCGTATCAAAGTATGCTTTCAAGTTCCGAATGTGATGCATGAAAAAAAAAAAGTGGAATGTGTAACAAAGTGTCAAATTATTAAAATAGGAAAAGTGTGGTGGAGCAACCAACCTGGTTTATATTGTTTTTTAAGATACAAGAAATATATAAAAACATTGACGATCATAAGCCTCTGTAAGAATACGAAAATGGACAAGCATTTATTTTCCAGTGAGGGTAACACTCAAGTATCAATGATCCGAAGCAAGGATAACATTTTTGACAGAAAAGATGTAAATGTAAATTTTGCTGATGCAAGTAAAAAAAATTAATGACGTCTCTATACTAAGAGGAGAGATTGGAAGAGCGAAAACTAGTTCTGGGTTGATTGCAGTTAAATGTATCACTTGATGGCAATGGATATTTAGATCCACGGTTTATGATGGATCATTAAATCAAAAAGTCAACCAAACACCAGCAAAGGGTTGCTCCGTTTTTTAAAGGCATCGTAAATAATACTAATTATGGAACGCCCTGATCCGTTTATGTTAGATAGTAATGGGTAGAAAGTGTATGATTCATGTTCATTCTGGATAAACAGAGGGTCTGAAATAGGTATGATTTTGTCAAAGTCGCGGTGATATCTAAAAAATGGGTGAGGTGTCAAGTGTGGTATATCTAAAGGATGTTTAAAGAGATTTAACAATTCTATTTATAGAAGCCGCTTTTGGATACAAAATAAAAATCATCTTTCTCTTTTATAATTAACACTTTCAATGACTTTTATTTTGTTAAAGAAAGTTTGAACAAGGCTACAGACAGGGTTTACAGAGAAACTTAAAATATATCGGAAAACGTACAAAGTTCCATGAACTTGGAAATCATGAGTCGTACTTTGCCAAATGACTGATATAACGCATAATAAAGATTAGATAATCCAGGACAATATCTTTATCACTCATTAAAAGCAAGATACTAAGATTGTTTTTTTTAACAGAGGGACGAGTTTAGCGGATGGCTTGATACAACAACGAATTAGGGTAGGGAGGATCTTGCATGAATTTCAATTATTTCTTCCCATCATAAGAAATATTTTTTAGCTGTTAAATATTATGTTAATATTACAAGTCGATACTCAATAAGCTTCCTCTATAAAGCGTATTTTTATCATAATATGATAAAATTTCAATAATCTATAATGCGAAGTATAAAAAAGTGTTGGGGCGATTATGAGTTGTGGGTTGATTCCTAATAATGAGAGAGTATCTTGCGCGGGTTTTTTAATGGTCTAAGCAAAGGAACTGATTAAAATTGTCTGGAAGTCAGCATGATGTGAAAAATATTCCAATCAGTCATCTGAAAAATCTCAACCTACCGCCAGTAGCAAATATTGGTTTTTTTTTTTTTTTTTGTTAATCATTCGTTTCTTCATATGCTTGTATCACTAACTCGGCTACTATTAATTTTTATATTATGGCTAACACATCATCCTATCTGTGTATGTCTATCCACCCACCTTATTAAAGCCCTTAAAAAGTTGTTTTACTGAACGTAAACTCAACGTAAGAGTGAAAGTCAAGTGTTTTCTTCTTTTCTTTTTTACTAAGAGGACGTATTGATAAGAATAATTATATAGATAGAATCGTATATAAAAATTAAACTTATTAAACTTTAATTACAAGCATCTTATCATCATGCGTGATTATACATTTCTTAAAATAGGTTTGAATTGTAAACAAATAAAGCAAATGATCGCCTAATTTATGATTTCTGGAAATCCACTAGTAGTTTTTGATTTGTAAACATAAACATTATCTGAACTGTTTACTCTAGTTTAAATTGGAGAAAAAAGGGGGGTTGCAAGGCTTTAGTCATGGTGTCCTTAGTTAACTCTTTATTTATTCGGTCTACACACTGTATGTGGTATGTCTGATAAGGAAGAGTCTATTGCATAAGGGTGTCACTCCCTGTTAGTAATTTATATTTGCCAAGCAGTCCATAATCATTATTTATTTCACCTCATTATTTTATGTTGTAACTTTATATTTATATGAACTGTATTTTGCAAACACTTTAGGTTAGATTTATAACCTCGCTAAATTTCTCTTAAGCAAGTCCTTCCAAAGCTATGTTTATTTTACGGCGCAGTGTATGATTGATAAATTATTACGTTTCCGAGTGTCTCAAAAAAAAAAAATCCTAAAAAATCCAGTGTACGAAAGTGGCAAATCTCATGATTTTTTTTTTTTAATTCTACAAAAGGAAGTGTGTCCTGACAATTTGTTGGTAGACGACTGTGACACCTATTGTTTGTACAATAAAAATGTAACGTGGGAACTTTCGATTATTATATCAGGTATAATCTGTGCGATCCAAGATTTGTACTCAAAAGATACTTTCTCCTCCCCTTATTTTACACAAACTCATTCTGTATATTCTAAAGTTTTTATTATCTGATTTTTTTTTTAAATTCTAGTAAAAAATCCTTTTGTCAATCGTACTTTAAGCACAACTAAAAGAATGGCACTGACAAGATAGACAACACCGGTAAACATCTTGTAAGTAAGGTATGGTTCTGCATCGACTGCAGCTTCAATTGCACTAGCTACTGTAATACCGAAAATAGCAATTACGTTGAAAAGTAAAAGCATGGATACACCAGTGGAATACTGTTCCGGTTTTAAAATAGCAGCTGTAATAGGTGTCACTAAAGATACAATTTAATAACAGTAAAATATAGAGATATTATCAAAATGAGACTTACTCATAGCAAAATAGGCACCACAAAAGAAACCAAACAAAACGGAGTAGGCAATAAGAGCTCCAAAACCATTTGCAAATGTCCAAACAAATAGCGTACTAAAAGAGCTTCCGAAAGTGAAAATGATATTGGAGTTCAATCTGCCAATACGGTCACCGATATAACTAAAAATAATACGATTGTAAGAATTACACACATGTAACAGACGCGCTGCCCTCATGCACTTACCCAACCATAATTCGACCAATAAAATTGGATGCGGACATAACGGCAATTAACGTAGAACCTTGACTAGCCGTAAGACCGATACTGGTTGCGTAAGCTGCAATATAGATAGTTTAGTAATCACATAGATACTTGGAACGTAAGGTATATTGAATAAGAAAGAAAGAAAGAAAAAACTAACCTGGGACAAAAAAATAAGGAATGAAGTAGCCACTAAGGCCAATGATCGAGGCAAAGCACCATAACAAAAAGTTTTTATCTTTAAGAACATCCATTTGGAAGATGGACCTCAAAGATTTTCCTCCCTTCATTTTTTTAGCAGGGTTCTTAGCTTTGACAAAAATACAGGCAATGATATTACAAGCAAGGCAAATAAAACCTAAAATTCGGTAGGTCCTGAAAAAAAAAAATCGGAAAGAAATTAGCATATAGTTTAGTCACCTAAACGAACGATAGAACATACCATGGGGCGCCTAAATTCTTATTGATAGGTGTAATGACAAATGGTAAAACCAATCCTCCAATACCAGATCCACCTGAGGCTAAACCTAAAGCTAGTCCTCTTCTTTTATTAAACCAAAGTGGGGCTACTCCCATGGCAGTCTAATAAATAAATTGTGCATCAGATAAAGCGTCCGATTCTATACAAACTTTGATAACTTACAACATAGAGGAAAGAAGCACCAGAGCCAAATAAAATACCCTGAGTTAAATAAAGATGCCAAATCTATAAACAACTTCTTAATAATCATTACATTTATACATATTTCCCTTTCACTTTTACCTGAGTACTGAATCCAGCTAGTTCAAGGCCCAAAGTGGCCATAATGGTACCCAAGACCAAAACCGTCCTTGTACCGAACCTTGCGACAATCAATTGTGCCAGAGGACCCATCAAATTTACACAGATCTCTAGTAATGTACCAACAAAACTCAATTGGAATTGGGAATTGGCAACTGTATCTCGGAACATGGTTACATCATAATGGTCCTGCATAATACCTGTGGTACAAAAATATTAAAAAAAGAAGCGTGCGAATTTACATGAGTGACACCAAACTTACCCCTATTCATTAGAAAAAATCAAACGTCGAAAAAGAGTTAGAATTCTAGCTCTATCATAACAATAAAAAAAACTTTTTTTTTTATAGAGATGAGAATAACACAACGAGAGCCCCCCATTTGTTTTCTCTTTCCGCTGCAAAAAAAAATAACAATATTCAAGTGCAGAACATAGTCTCAAAAAAAAAAAAAAAAAAAAAAAAAAATCGCAATAGAAATATAATGATTTACCAGCATGCAGCCGGGCCAAAACTTGTGACCTGAACCATGAATGTCCCGAGAATCACGAGCCAACCGTAGCCACCGTCAGTCTCCTCAAAGACAGTAGCAATAGATGGTTCGTTGGCTCCGAATTCGGGATCGTTGCAGCTACGCTCTAATAAGTGAGAAAAATAAAAAGAAAGACAGGTCAGACGTCATTACTTTTATGATCTATATCCCCTTTATACATACGGTATTCATGGTTCGGCTTTTCAGTTTTGGCACATGCTGCATCGTCAAAGGTAGGGGTGTACCCATTTTCTTTGACAGAGCTGGTTGGAGATGGCACAGTACTACCAATGTCTGCTAAATCATTGATCACTAGGGTATTTTGTACAGAGTCACTATAGGCCTCCATTCCTTGATTTGTATTATTGCTGTCGTTCATGGAATTTTTTTATTTAGAGTAAAAAAAAAAGAAAAAGGAGAAGGAAGGTAGATGTGTGTGAATGATGAAGACTTTTTATACTCATTCTAGTGACACATGAACAATTCTAGACTGTTTCTTTTAAAAAACCGCCATCTGAAGCATACCTTGCAACGGGAATATTTTACAAATCGTTACATACATTGCATTAAGAAGTTAGAATGTCTTTGAACCAAAATCGAATCGAAAAAATGAAAAAAAAATTAACGTTTCTTGTTTACCTTAGACGCACAGATATTGCATTAAAAGCCTAGACATTCGAGATTTAAAAAAAAAAAAAAAAAAAAAAAAAAAGTTTTTTGTTTTAGTTCAAATCCCGTTTGTGAAGGGGTTTGTAAACATCAATATACGCTTATTTCAGGAGCAAAACATCACTAGATCACCACCATAGATCAGGATTTGTTGATCCATTAGCCTCACCTGGCCCCATAAGTTTAATTCTTAAAACCGGTCAATCATAGCTAAGGCAGAGTATGTTATGCGTTCCTCATTGGAATATTTTGTCATTATGAAACAGAAAAGCACATTTAGTGATGTCGTGGATTGTCGCTTTAGATATAAATTACACAAAAAAACAATTGCGGGGTACATTTTAAAATGGCGTATATTCAGAATCCAAGACCTTACAACAGTCTTATGTATTCGGGATAGCATAAATAAAGATCATTGTTATGATAACCATACTTCTATCTTGATTTGGGATCGTTTAAACCTGCGCCATACTTCTATGTTGATATAATTATACTCAAAGCAGAATCGCACATATACCTCTCAGGATTGTCAATAACGCTACTACATTTATCTTTAAAATAAGCGTATGGGCGTGCATTTTTATTCTTAAACGCTAAAGTAACAAATATAGTTCAGTTTATCAAGAAATATGCTGGCAATCACGGCGTGTTTTCCCTCTATCAATGAAAGTGACGCCTGAAGTGAATAATTAAAAGATAAGATATAGCTTTATTTAAATTATTAGGCATATTCCAAACAAAAAAATGCACGTACCAATAGCAAAAAGGCTTACAACTGTCAAACATCAAAAATACATTAATTTATTTGCATGTATTAGGTATGTTCTAGTAGACAGGCCATATTGGGATTTCACTAAATACACGGCAATTAGGTAAAATGGTGAAGGATCGGACATTCTTATGCAGTCTCTAATTATCCTAACATATGATACTGATTTTCTCTTACCATGCCAAAGTACGGTTTTTACTTAAATCGACAGCTGTCTTTCATCTGTCTAAAAAGAAAACCTTTATCTCATTTTTCTAATGTAAGCCAACTTAGCGTAGCCATGTGAAGATTCGACTAAATTCTCCGTGAAGTAATAAAAGGTGATTGCAACAAAGTATAATTGCCTTTTCTTTTACGTTCATGTCCCACTGTACATCTATTTGAAATCCGATATTTATTTGTTGTTGTGTATTAATAACTTTCATCAAACAGATCCTTCAATTTTTGATCTTCTTTTTCACCCTCTTGCTTCAACGCACGATTATTATCCTTGATTGCCTCTTGTCGTTCCTTTTTAATTTTTTCGTTACGCTCATGGACATTTCGCACCTGAGTTTCCCAATCCACTTTGTCGGTGATCCATACACTGACACGTCTTTCTTCTTTATCATCAATCGCAGGAGGCATTATTGACATTGTATTGTAGTTATTTAATAAAGTTGATAATGTGGGTTCGTCGATTTCATATTTTTTTAATAAGGCTTGACGGATTTCTGGCTTATCAATCTCTCCAGGATTTAATCGTTTGCGTTGTTCCAACAGGGTAAATAGTGAATCGATGGAAATCAAACCATCAGATACAGTCAATCCTTTAATCTCTTTCTGCTCTGCTTCGTTTCTTTTTTTTATAATGCCCAACATGGTATCAGACTATAAATATGCAAATTTAGATTTGTTAACCATACTATGTGATCTAACCTTACCGTTCTCATTTTTGTCACTGTGGGTTGAATGGTGACAGGACCCAACGATTTCAACTTTTCATGCAATTGAGGATCGCGTCCGTCCTCTTCAATGAGTTCCGTCTTCGATTCTATGACTGGTGTTTAGAAGATTATGCATTTTACATAAATACATTAATACCTGCAAAGGCTGGAGCAGTAGATGCAAGCGTCGTTGGAGATTCGGTCGGTACATTTTTTAATGTTTCTGGGCGTGCTTTAGTGGGCAACTTTCTTGCAACTTTTGATGTCTGTGCTCCCATTTGTAAGCTGTGTAATGTAAGAAAATTTGAGCAAGGGCAACCTGGGTTGACAAACACAAATCCCCATTTATTTGATCAAATCAAACTCAGCAGTCACGAAACTTTGGTTACGTTGAAGACAGCTGTCAAATTACGTATCAACATTTTTCTTTTTTTTGACAAATGAAAGAATTTAGAACAGGATGTTTCCTTTACTAATCCAAAATCTGCATCCACACTAATGCTAAAAGGCTCAGGTAAGGATGAAATGGGCCAGGTTCCAGTATATATTTTTAATTTATCAGATATTAGTTTATTTATTTCCATGCGATGGTCTTTCCGTCCTTGAGGATAACAATATTAACTATGATACATCTGCAAGATGTCTGGATCTAATCCAAATCTTACCTCAAGTATTGTTATCCACCAGGGAAACATTCGGATCATTTTTTAAATTAACTGCAATTATTTCTTTACTACACAAAAGAAGCTAGCGATGGCGTCTTTGTAAGAAATTGTATATATCCAATTCGAAGTTTACATAGAATCTTCACAAGGAAAAATTAAACTCTCAAAAATTATATTTGGAAAGAATTTTTGTCTTAATGTATACAAGTATATCTTTATCTGATGTATCTAATGACGCGAGTTATATATGTAAAGACATAGGTAGGTTTAATGAAAAAAAACCAAAATTGATAGTGGTGATTGGTAGTTAAGTATTAGGAGTCAGCTTAAGATTAAAGAGTAGTTGTGTTTAGGGTAGTGACTCGAAACAAGAAATACAGGCAATTCTGTATTATCATTATGTCCAGTTATGTTGGTTTTTACCAGCGGAGTAGTCCCCCAGACACAGCAGCCTCGCGTGACCGTTGTACCTTATCTATACTACAAGGCTTTTTCCATCACCAAGCATCCGCAGGTGTCAACTAATGACCATCATTTGTCAATTTATATAATTGGTGTGTCTATTTCATAGAATAAATGATAAGATTTATTCCTTTAGATAAATGTTGTCAAGAAAAAATGTAGTAGTAATACATACACCTTCCGGTCTTAAAACATGCAATGACAAATGACACTCTCAAAGAAGTAGAATTTCGTTTTTAAAGGAGCAATTTTATTTTCATTACAGCGATAAATAAGGTACAATAAAATATAGATTCATAATAATAATACAGCACATTTATATATATATATACATATATATATAACAAAGCATTTCATTGCGCTGCCAAGATAATAAGGGTTTGGTATGCATAATTACTGGAACATTATGTTGTTTAGCGTGAAACGGTTGCGGTTATTTTGAAAGTCTTGTGTGTTTGATAAACCGAGCATCGAGTTCCACACGTTATTCTGGTTTGTAGCAACTGGTAATACTCTTGAATTTGAGGGTCCTTTTTGGATGGATGTTTTATCAGAAATAGTGTGATGAATAAAAGTGCAACGAATTCCATACGGACAAGAACCACCTTCATGGTAAGCTTTGCATGTTTTTGTTTTGTACTGATTTGATCGAGAAATAGGTCTCAACTCTTCTGGACCATGAGCATAGCGGCATCGTTTACCATATCTAACCAGATTGTTAGAAGCCGCATTGGGTCTATCAAGCTACAATCATACCTGCACATGCCTCGTTCATCCCAGTTCCTACAGGTCTCTGTTTTATACAGCAAAATATCTTTGTATGTAATTTCAGAAGGCATAAAGATAAATAAGTTACAAAATAAATATAAAAAAAAGGAAGGGAGAAAAAAAAAAAGACAGCGCAATATATACAAGAGAGCACCGTAATTTATCATTTTTTGTATATCTCTATTTATTAGGCTTTAAATCAACTTTCAATAGTAATGGTGGTTTACAGTCCCTCACACGATTCGTGGTTGTTAATGCAAATGTACCAGTCACCAATCATGCATTTTTTATCTAAACTTGAACGACAAGGGCAATCAATAGGTTTCTTAACACAAACTCCAGTGTCTTCGCAAATGTAGTCTTTACACGGTATATCTACGATTTCAGTAACCTTTATTAGCAGCTGCTTACTTACATAACATATCTTAGTATTTATATATTCTTACCGGATCTAGTTGATTTGACATAGTCTGGAGCTGGTGTGCCAAATGTTGCAGATGTAGATGAAGGCATGTTCTCTTGATCTGTCTCCCCAAATATAAGAGATTTAAAATTAAATGCACATACAGCTTCGATAATAAAAAGAAAACATAGAGTGTTGAAAAGTATTGTTGACTTAAACGCCATTATTGTAAAAAACAGAATGCTTCCAACCTAAATACGTGAGCTGAAAGAAAAAAATGCAAATTAAAACCGCACACGAAAGCGCTGCTTTAGTGAATACACGTTTCACAAAAAAAGTCTTATACACCAATAATCTTTGTGGAGGGCCATGATTTTTTACGAGTAAAAAAATTAATGCTTACAAAGGCTAGTATTTTAACAAAGAACTCACTTATGCCCATAACAAAGACCGAAGGATTGATTGGGTCATTGTTTACGTTGACAATGACACAATTTGACTTAGAAACGATGGTCTTATGCCTTGTGCTTATCTACAATTATAACAATATTTCCTGAGAACATTATATCCCGTATTGATTATGAAGGTTCTTGGAAGCTATGAAATCTTCTTAATATAGCACAGTGGTATTATCTCATCATATTTTGATGTCATATTTGCAAAATGTTTGATTCAATTTAGATAGTGCATTTTTCAAACCAACCTAGCGTATCATATACAGAAGTAACGTGTTGATTCTTTAATCGCCCTACGCACTACGTTGGGAAATTTTAAAAAAGTCGGCCCAATACTATGGGAATTATAGCTTTGTTGTACTCTACTATCAGGTATTTGGAAATAAACTTTCTGCTCCTTATAATATCATTTTTTTCTAGAACTAATGTAACGACATAAGTATCCGTATCTGCATGGCAATTGACCAAAATTTAGAAACGGTGTAATGCGTTAACCACAATATACTTTTTATTCTTCCGAGATTGATAAGTGAAGACAATCCTTTTTACCGACAAAAGAAAAGTTTGTGTATCCTCAGGCATCTATTCTTGTCATAAGCTTTTAGAGCGTGGATAAACAATTGGCTATAGGAGAAAGGAGATTTTGTTAAATAAGAAATGCCTCCATCGCCCGCTTATTATGGAAATTGCATCTATTTTAAACTGCAAATCTTTTTTTATATATTCCTTTACGGTAAGCCTCTGTTTGTGATGTTCGGGCACAATAACAAACATGATGTTTTATTTTAGTTTGAAGGGGATTTTCCGCCTAAATGTGGATACTATATTAAAGGATTCGGCGTATACATTGGTTTTACACACCTCAGTTGCATTATGTAAACCCTTATTATCGTAATTAAGGAACCTTTGAAAAATAAATTTATAGTTTCCAAATAAAGTTTAAAGAAATGACACGTAGTTCGAGTATTGCATCACTAAATAAATAGTCATGCTAGGCCATGCAACAGAGAGTAAAAAAAGGCAGTGATTCGAAGATGACGATGGATTGTGCAACATGGATGCACACATTTCGTTTTGTCAAGGTGTCCTTTAGTTCATTATTTCAATTGAAACCCAATTGGTCATTTTTCAGGATCATATACTCCGTAGTCTATACACATGTCTTTTCACTTCCACTTACCAGCTGCATTCCTATTTAGAACCGTGTTAGAAAGTATCTGGTTGCATTATTGAAAATTCATTTTCAGAAGGTGTTTCTTTAACCAAAACGAAGATACCCCCAAGATTGGTCGACTATCCAGTCATAAACAGTTTTCTCCTCGTCAGTAGATCGCCTAGTTATTCCAACTCAATTTTTTCAATTATTACTGCACACCGCTCTTCAGACGTGTGGCTTTTGTACGAAAAAATATTTATTCGATCGTCGCTGGTTTACTGCCTTTGAGTGCTCAATAGATCTACTCAAGTGGATTTCAGATTTCAGCTTTAAGACTTTCTGTTGAAAGCAGTAAAAAGGATGTCCAACCTGCTTCTTTCCGCACTTTCTTATACTTTTTTAAAAAAAATGGAACAATAATTTTCTAAATGTATCGAAAGAGTTGAATTGAAAAACTCATCAAGTCTCATCGGCATCTATAGAGTCCAGCGATCATTACAATCCTACAACCGATCAAGTCGTAACGCTGTAATATCTTAAAGATACTTCCAAAATTTACAGATCAACAACGGCAACATTTTTGGAAAGTGTATATGAAATGGGAGCTGTACGATGAGGAATCTATGAAGCGCGAATATGAAGCCGACAACTTTGCGTTTGCTGGAGAATCACAAGAAATGCATTTAGATCTTGAAGAGGTTTTGACGACGAAAAAAAAAAAGCAGCGATAAAAAACCGCTAAAAAAAGTTCAGTCAATTCTGGCAATCTGGTTACTTGCACTCGTCCCAATTTTATATCACTTCTCCTGTTTTATCAACAAACCCGTTAAAAAACTAGTTGATACTTCTACATAAGGCAGCACGAGACCTCTTGATTTGACTAAAAAAAGCCGGTTTGAAGATAAGAGACATCAAGAGAAAGCGGGCAGCATTTAATTAGTATATGTCAGATCTTGAGCTCGGTAAATTGATAAATGTCATATCTAAATAATTGTTTATTTAAGACATTTTTTTTTAATAGAACAACACCTCCATTTGCTTTCACCTTATAATTGCGATGCAATCTCCAGCAAAAACATATCCAGAGTAGACGCAGATACGTACGACATGTGTCGTAACGGCTGTTACATGTTTGTGGATGATGAACAAGAGAGAGGACTGACTGAGTGTCCAAATGTTTCTTGTAAAGCTGCTAGATACACCGATAATGCCACAGGTGTACCTGTAGAAACTCATACGCAGTTATCTCTCGCAAAGCAACTTGGAAATTTTCTGGCTCAACAACGAAATGTCAACAACATCAACGCTTACAGAGAAGAAAGACAATCTTCGTCTGGATCTTAAAAAGATGTTTTTGATGGTAGTGCCTGGAAGAACAGCCAAGATTTATAAGGTGATAAAATGATCTCATTGGCTTTACATGCCGATGCATTTTCACCTTTTAAAAGAGGTGCTACTGGTCAAAGTATGACGCTGTTGATGGTGACAATTCTGGACTTATCTCCAGAATTAAGGTATTGTACTGATAACATTTAAATTTGAAATGGAATACTGATTTTTTGTACATATATTTACTTTAAAAAGATTTAAGGCCGAAAATGTTCTTATCTTGGGGATTATCACCACGGAAAAAAGCCATGAGATATCTTCAGCTTCCTTTACCCCACTTTAAAGGAGCTGATAACCCTCGAGGAGGCTGGCTTCTGATGGCACTTGTACGTATAAGGCCAAGCTTGTTCATGTTGTAGGGGATATACCTGGAGTAGCGGATCTTTGTTGTCATTCAGGACATACGTCCTATACTGGTTACCGTATGTGTACCATTCGAGGTATGCAATCAAGTAAAAAACGGGCAATAGTTTTTCCCCCAAAAATGGACAAGGATGGGGTTTTTTTAAAAAATGTCTACAGAGATTCTAATGCGTTTCGTCATGGTGATAAGGTACTGCTATATGTGACCAGGAAAAAAAGTGTAGCTAAATAATTGTATTCAAATTTACTAATGATACTGAAATACATGTTCAAAAGAGTGCTGGAATCAAAAAGCCAACACCATTTTCTTTGCTGAATGGCTTTCAGGGATACTCCTTCTTCGGTCTGGATGAACTCCATCTTTGGGGGTCAAACATCGCCAAGCAAGTGTGGAAGATGATGGTTGACGATAAGCAGTTGTTTGGGCATGAAAACCCACTGTTTCTCCGAAACAAGTATCGTGACAACGTTGGATCCAGAATGGCCACCATTCAACGTTGTATCGATAGTAGTGCTTTAGACGGCCAGCTCATTGGTAAGTTTTTAATGGCTTGTATTTTGTCTGTGCTTTTTTATATCCAATTTATACATCGTATCTAATATCCATGCAACAGACATGGCTAACCGTGCAGGAAATGCAAGATGTGTGGATATGATTGACTTCATGCAGTATATCGTACCCACGCTGGTCGTCGAAGCGCTACAAATGCAAGCAATGGACATTGTTGCAGCCGAAAAAGCACGACGCAACAAAAAGATGAAAAGAGGATATGTGCCTGTTCCTGTTGGGACGAATCTGGTAGAAGTGCCAGAAATTATAGGCAAGACTTGCTATGCCTTGCAATGCTTGTCTAAAGTCTGTCGTATGACGGAACAATACGAAATTTCCAGCGTGGATCTTATCGAGATTGATAGGTAAATGTAGTAGAATGTTGTTTAGCACATAACTAACTTTCAAATTGCCTTATGTATTTATGCGTATTTACAGATTGATTGAGGTATGGCTCTTGTTTCTGCTGGAGGTGTACAAAGACACGGCTTTTACGATCAATCAACATTACTTGACTCACGTTAACGAAATGATACGTCAACTTGGACCGCTTCGCTGCTCAAGCGCACGAGTCTTAGAAAGAATGATCGGTAATGTGAAGAGGTTAATTAGATCAAGATCAAAGCCTGCCGAGAATGCTGTAACAGTGATGAAAAATCATCATTCTCTCGCTTGTCGAGCTTGGGGTGTTGAGGAATTGCAAGTGAACAAAAAAGAAATTATGACCATAACTGAGCTTTTTACAAGAAGAAGTGGAAGCGATGATGTATAAATTTCCATATCTTTCAAATCAGGATAATATAAATTATTATCCAACTTGCTGTATTCCTCGTACCAAGCAATTACTCAGTCATAAGAGAAAAACTAAAAGATCCGTGGTGGTAGAGTTCAAGAATGAAGATGGTCGTGTTGAGTACGCTACAGGAAATATAAGTACTGTATTTAGTTTAGATGGCCGCATCTTGTATGCAATGGTAACCTTAGAAGCCATGCTTTTGCATAATGGCTCAAATTATTACATGAACAGATCGAACGTACTTTCCTCTGTATATATAGCAGCCATCGATGATATTGTTGGTTTGACCATTTATATTCCTTCGATTATGAATGATGACATCGTGCATGTCATGTGTAAAGGGTTACAGTAGAATACATTTTCACAGTTTCCTACTACTGTATGGCTTATAAATAATTTTAAACATACAAAAAGAAAAAGCCACCCTTCCTATAATTATTTAAAATGTCATTGATTTGCTTTTGTATAGTTTGGTGTAATTTCGTGTAATTTCGTGTGATTTCGTGTTGCCACCATTTTATATTTTATCACACTTTTAAAGAAGGTGTAAGTGGGTGTAGTTTGGTGTAATTTAGTGTTAATGTTCGAGTGACGATTTTAAAATGTTAACACCAAATTACACCAAATTACACCAGATTACATTTTATTTCCCGTTGTGACCACTTTCTTTGCTGAATGGCTTTCAGGGATACTCCTTCTTCGGTCTGGATGAACTCCATCTTTGGGGGTCAAACATCGCCAAGCAACTGTGGAAGATGATGGTTGATGATAAGCAGTTGTTTGGGTATGAAAACCCACTGTTTCTTTGAAACAAGTATCGTGACAACGTTGGATCCAGAATGGCCACCATTCAGCGTTGTATTGATAGTAGTGCTTCAGACGACCTTTTTTTTTTTTTTTTTTTTTTGCTGGAAACTTATAAAGATACAGAATTTATAATCGACCAGCATCAATTGTCCACAATACCGAAATAATGTGTCGACTTGGACTGCTTCGTTGCTTGAGAGCACGAGACTTAGAAAGAACAGGGAGCTATACTTTTGCATAATGGCGCGAATTTTACATGAACTTATTAAATGTAGTATCCTCTGTTATTATTATTAAAATCGATAATGATGGTTTAGCCATCTTCATACTTTCAAATATAAATTTAGTGTAGTTGTTGATGGCAACTAATTTTTTTTTACATATGCTTGCAGCTTTAAAAGAAAACTAGCCGATGATAATAGTCACCAAGGGATTTTGATGCATTTAAAACAACGAAGGTGTGCAAGGTTATAATCTCAACAATAAAGCTCTTAAAGTCTGTGCGACAGATGACATCAAGAACAACTGGTACCAAATCCATTTTACCGCAAGGATTAGAAAAATGACAAAATGTCTTTCAAAAAAGTATCCAATTGGGTTTCAATAAAAGTGTCCTTTTGTCATTTTTTTATTTTTTTGTCCCGAAAGATTGCAGGTCTTTTAAGGTTGCACAGACATGACATCAGTTATTTTATTTTTTTAGTTTTTTACCCGGCGAAATGTTGCCATCATTGTTGTATCGTATACCGTGACACACGCAAGTTTAGACTTTTTTTCTTTGTCCTGCAAACGATGGGCTTATAAAAAATAAAGATAAAAAGTATGCTAAGCCCTGCCGCAGAGACAAAAGTCAAATACATTATGAATGGGCCATAGTATTACTACGGTATTATTATGAAATTCAATCATGTGAAAAAGTCGAACGCACAGGTCCAAATAGATTAGACCTTACTTGGAACTGTTTCTAATTATAAGATTCAGACTAAAATTGTTACTGGTCCGTCGATTCTATTTTATAAATAAAAAAACCTTTTTTTAAGTCGCTGTCATTGTATTACCTAAAATACATTTGCATATAAAAGGCAATCGTTTTTTCTTGGTATTTTCCTTTTTTTTTATATATATACTTTATTATCACAGACACCTACTATCAATAATGTTCATCACAACCTCTTTCTACTCAAAACTTTTACTCTTGATTACTTTTGTCTATATCATATCTACAGCTTCTGCAGCAAGCAGTAGCGATGTTAAAGGAGCATGGAAAAATAGACCTCGTCAATTCAGAATGCAAATCTTCTCCAGACCCTACAGTAAAGGCGATGTTCAAACTATCAGAGCAACTAATGGTGGTAATGTTAATAATAATGAAATTATAAACTTTATCCTAATATTAATATCGTATATTTATAGCTTCTACGCCCTGTTGGAATTTGGCATCAAAAAGAGTTGGTTCCTATGAATTAAATGACCCATTAGTCAAGGTTACTTTTTATAGAGTAAGTCCCATAGATAAGAAAAAAACGCCAAGACGCTGACAATTTGTTTTTTTTTTTTTTTTTTAGTCGTCTGACTGTAATGGGGCACCTTCAGCCACTTACTATAACCAGCACTCTTCAAAACAAAGCCACATTTTAATCAAGGCCAGATCCGTGTCCATCGTTAAAGTGAAACCCGTATTATTAAAGGAACAACACAAGGACCTTTGAGTGGACTAAATAAATCCGCCTGTAAATAGCTCTTCCAAGAGTATAGACTTTGTATATATATATATATCTAATCCCTAGCAAAATATCCCCATAATGTAATAAAAAATAATCTGTTCTAGCCTAAGGCTTTAATTCAATATAAACCGGGGCTTTAAATGTAAACACCACCCTCAGCCTCTTTAGTTTTACATGTATCTGCTAACAAATAATAGAAATAGAATAATGGTGTTATTCAAAGAAATGATACGTGTAAAAGTGATATGGTTTCTAATTATTTTCTTGTATGTGTCACAACTCATATGGGGGTGACTCGGATCTCCCTTTATTTGTTAGTACCGGCCAAATTTGTCTTTTCATGTTAAGTCGAGACCTGTACGAACAAACTTGTTCCTAATCACAAACAATGGTCGAAAACGAGCCGGATTACTTTCTCCACTATTATATCAAGCCTTCTTTGACAATTGAAACATCCAACAGACTGGTCTTATGATCTTAAATACTTCCCGGAATTGTCATATTTTTCTGAATTAATCAGCCATGATGCTTTACTAATGATGCTAAAATATCGATAGTTCCACCTTTACACCTTTCGTTTACTTTTGGAATCACTGGGTAAAAATATAAGGATACTCAATAACTGAACTCAATTGCTTTAAACATAGCAACTTGTATAAAAGTTATAACTGAAGTCGCGTAGTGGAATATCAAAAGCACCACGAATCACTTCTATGTATATACATAAAATCCTGCTATTGGCGACTATAAAACGTATTCCACGCAGCCCCTCCCCCCCCCCCATTATTTGTGCGGATAGCTTTTCTAAGTTCAATTTATAATGATGAAATGATGAAAAAAAGCGAGCTTTTTTCATATCAGAAAGACTGATGACCGAAAGCTTGTTTATTTATGGGTGTCTCCGGTTCACGTCAGAATGTGACCATTGATTGCATATTTAATTCCTTTGTTTTTTTAGATAAACAAAGGTGCAACAAAATGCATTAAATAATTTTGCATATTAACAGCTATTAGATTTACGGCATCTTTACAAACACCCTGATGGACCTTTTGAGCATGGTGAAATACAATGAAATAAACTCAGATATAAAAAACAGATGTTAACATTATCGGGAGAGTCCCACTAACTTTTATAAATATCAAATTATTTGAAAAAATAATTTGGTTGTGTTATGTTTTCTGCCCTGGAGGAGTATCCGATCTCATTTATCGAATGAGGCGCCTTGGCCTGAACACTATCTGATAAGTATCTGAATTGGGGCTACATGATTGGTCAACGGGTTGCTTTGACTGTATCACCTGAAATATACTTTTATAATCTGTTGTTTTTTGCTGATCCTTTCTCCTCTTTATATAAATATATATATTTACATATCTCTTACAAATACAGTCATATAAAACAAATGCATTTTTCCATCTCTTACTTTTTCAAACTTTTACTTTTGATTACTTTTATCTATACCTTATCTACAGCTTCCGCAGCCAGTAGCAGTAGTGCTAAGGGAGTAAGGGAAGCCAGGCCTCGCCAGTTTAGAATGCAAATCTTCTCCCGGCCTTATAGCAAGGGCAATGTACAAACTATCCGAGCAATCAATGGTGGTATGTTCACGCTCCCTGAGGCATTGTAACTTTTTATCTTAATGATACATATTTTTAGCTTCTTCGCCATGCTGGAATTTGTCTTCAAAAAGAGTCGGCTCTTATGAGCTGAATGATCCATTAGTCAAAGTCACATTTTATAGAGTAGGAACAAAAATGGTATAATATTACAAATTGCTTATAATTTTCTTTATAGTCATCTGACTGCAACGGAGCACCTTCAGCCACTTACTATAACCAGCACTCTTCAAAACAAAGCCACATTTCAATCAAGGCCAGATCCGTGTCTGTTCTCAAAGTAAAGCCTGTCATATTAAAAGAACAGCACAAGGACCTTTAAAAAATTAGCTGATTGAATGAATAGAAATTTCATAAAGAGCTGCCCATTTAAACGGTGTAGAATATGTAAATAGAAAATCCCTGAATAAATTAACTCCATATAATTAAATAAAAGCCAATAATAACCTGTTAAAATTATAATGCTATTCTGTAATAAGAAAAAAAAAAAGAATGTAACATTTCTAAATCAAAACAAGTGTAATTATGTTGAAAATAAAGAAACAAATTACCCAGCCCCAAATGGATTTTTCTTACTCTCAAAAACAAATTTCTAAAGCAGAGTGCTAATCAATCTCTCCAGTTGTTCAAATCCAGATTTTCAAGGTACTGAGGGGCCAAAATTGCTTGTGCAGAAATTTCGGATTGTCCGCATATCTGATGCATGATTAAGTTTATATGCTCGCTCAAAAATGCGGGCTGATATTCCTGGGATCAAATAAAGGCCGTGTCGATAATTGAGTTGAGGATTTTCCAATTGCAGCTTTTGGCCAAGTAATACCCTGCAGTTTTTTTGAAAGTATAACAAGTTTTGTTGTATATATATGTGCTTTAATACAAATGTTTGCTATTTAAATGACAATTTGTTATTTATCGCTCATACTCAATTGGGGTCATCTTCTACCACAAAAGGCTAATATGCAGGTCGCTAGTTTGTTCGTAAGATCATAATGAGCATCAAGCCATGCTTTGTGCAACTTGAAACAGGTTTTTCTGAATGGTCTAGAAACATGAGCTTAAAATAGCAGAAATGCTGAACCAACAGATAGATAAACAGAAGATTCCTTGCATTTTTACATAACGTTAATTTGAAATCGGTTACTAATAAATGTTAGCATCACATATATCTACCAATTGACAAATATAATTTAAGTTAAAAGTTTATGTTAAGATATCAGATGGTGTATGAGAAAAGAATGTACAAATTCACTTTCAATGAATTTATCCACAAAAAAAGTTAACACCTTTTATTAGCTTGTCCGAGCTGTTATCTTATATTGGGAGTTTGTCGATCATTTATCCCAAGAATGGCTTGAAAAACTATCAGAACTTTTGGTCACGTAATGACTTTACTTGATGTAGGTATCAGACATAAGAGGTACAATTTTATTTTTGATTATATTGCAATAAAGCAAGACATGATAAAATCGTTCAATAAACTACTAAATTTGTCAACACAAACTGGCCTTACATTTGCCATCATGCTTATCCTTTCTGTTTGGGCAACACTTGAACTTGGCATGGTAACAAATAGCTTCTATTGTCAAAAAATAGTCCTGAGAATGAGTTGGTTATTTAAGAGTGACACGGAACTTGAGCCTACCACATGTGGTATTTACCATAATATCTCGCGAGAGAATACTCATCATCTAAAATAAACAGTCCGTTAAAGTATACTTGTCTCACAATTATACACTTACTGATTTATGTTACACTAATTTAATCGATCTGCTTTATTCTAAAAGAAAAAGCAGATCCTGGATTTATAGATTCCTCTCTTATTTTTTCAATACATTTTTGATTTAATAAATTTTTAAGGAAGTTTCATTGTATTGACTTGTCTGTACCTTTTTTCTTTTATAATATCTGGAGTATCACATTACAGATCAATTTTACTCACAAATGATATAAACAGTTATACTTGAGTAAATTAATATAAGAGAGGCGGGATGATTTATATACAATGAAAAAAATATGAACAGCAGAGGATGGGGGATAGAGGGGTTGATAATTAATTTGTTTCATCATCTTCGTCCGATTCAATAGTAATGGTCCTTGTAAAGTTCTCAGCTGACCTCTTTTTCTGCTGCTTTTTTTTAGGACTAAAGAAGATTCCAGGGCTTGGTGAGCGTTTGGAAGGAGTATTGCCGCGTCTATATATGTTTAATACTTGGTTATTCGCTTGACGACGACAAGAGGGAGCGAGGATTCTTCTTAATTTAAAATGGTGATGTTTGAAAGAAAACAATAAACTCAACGTTTGCTTGAAATCTTTAAGACACGAGAGAAAGAGAGAGAGGAAGCGCTAAATCGCATTCGCGAAGATTACGGTCAAAAAGTGTGGAAATTGATCGCATTCGCGAATATCACTGTCAAAAAGTGTAGAAATTAACCGCGATCAGATGAATACGGTCAAAAATTGACCGCCAATGTGATATGCCACATACGCTGATTATTTCTTTTTAATCACCATCATGTAGCCAACATCACCTGCAAAAGAAACTTTAATTAATGTTTTAACTAAAAGCTGTGTTTAATGACAATACCTAACCAGTCCATCCCAATCACAAAAACTTTGCTCTTCTCATCATCATCAAATGGCATACTTTCAATGCTCTCCAAGATGGCAGTATTGGTTTAGGTAAAGACTGAGAAGATGGAACAAGTACAGGTACATCAGTAGAAATCTGTGCAGCAGACGGAGGGTTTGCTCTGGGTCGGCCTCTAACCACAGGAGGGTTTGGGCGTTGCTGAGACTCACCGAGCTTTTTGCCGACGTTGGACCTCTTCCACTCCGAGGAGCTTAACCCTATGTTCAAAACTTCCATTAAAAGGTCGACTCCTCTTCCAATTGAAGTGCTATTAGTGTCTCAATTATCACATATTTCTTCATTCAATTGTCTACATGTCTTTGTATCATTGCTACATGTTTCGCCACTATTAAATTCATTAGTATAACTAGTCATTCACAAAAAAAAACCTATTTCCAGAGACTCACTCATTTATCTCAAATTGACTTTTACGGAACAACATCTCAATGATCATTGCAACAGGTCTGTAGAATTCTAGCTCGCTCATTCATTCAATTGCTTTCTTTTCCTCTATCAGTCCTTTTATAATGTTTTACAAAATATCCAGCATTTGAATCACTTCAGATCCCGGGCCTCGGTCAAACGCTTTCAACTTTTCAATACAAATGTAGCGACGGTCCACTCGATTGTCTGCCCTATCATGATTGAGATTGTAAGATAGAGGCTTACAATCCCTACAACGGGTAACGGGGAATCAGGGTTCGATTACGGAGAGGTAGCCTTATCATATAAACCACTCATCTCTTCAGTCATGCCAGTTTCAATACTTGGTCTTTCCTCCTTCGCTTGCTCCGACTTTAGCACATCGTATTCTTGAAGTATTCCTCAAATACAGGCATCGTAGAACCTCCTATGATATTTATGATTCTTGGCAAAGAAAGCCTTGTTTCATTTATACAGTGAGAAAGCTGCATTTGCGTATTAAAATACCTTTGAACTTACTTTAAAGCCAAATCAGTTTCACTTTTACTTTCCGATTGTAAAATGGAGTATGAGATATTATCTAGTGATTCTCCAATACTATCAGGACTTGTATTGTTCTTTAATTTATCGAGGTTTACTATATCTAATAATGATATTTGCTTTTTGAACTAAAAGGAAGAGCTGAGTCTACAATTTAAAATGCAGTTTCGGACCTTGCGTTACAACAAAGTTCTTGGCCATCAGCTTCTCATTACACCAATTTTTAGCAGCCACAGCTGCAAATGCTTCGTTAATTATAAGCATGATGCACTGCTCTTTGCTTAATATAATTCTTGAACCTAATCCTTTGGGATTAGGTTTTTGGACATACATCAAGCTAGAGATAAGAGAATGTCTACACCAACGTATTTTTGTTAACTTCTCCACGTATTTTTTAGGTCGCGTGATCCATTCTTTTTCTTACATGCTTTTGATCTTTAGCCTTGTACGAACGACGACCCACTCGATTTTCTTTCCCAATATTTACAACTGGCAACGGGGAAGTATTACTTATATTGAAAAGACTAGCCATAGCCGTGATAACAAAAATTGAGAGTATATCTTTTTTTTTTTAAAAAAAAAGTAATATTTTAGCGTTTTTATAAAAAACGAGAATTGTTATTTACTAACCTTTTCCCAATTTTATTACTTCTCTTTGAAAAGGTGTTGTTATACAGGATATGAATATACAAGAAAAAAAAAGAAGAAGAGAAGAAGGGAAAGAAAAAAATGTTTAAATAGGTTTTATTTGTAGACTGATAAACAAGAGCTGGCTTATGTCAGGATTTATTTAATCAGAAGATCATGTGAACGAGTTTTATTTATAAACTGATAAACAAGAGCTAGCTTATGTCAGGATGATTTAACTGTTTATTTAATCATCAATATATCTGAGCCTTCACATACTAGAAAACAGGCGTATCCATAGACGTAAAAAAACAAGCGCATAAAAAAGTACGTGTAAAATGAAGGGCCGTAGAAAAAGTACAGCCAATTTTTTCCTTAGGAACAGTCAAAGTGTACGTAGTCACAACGTAAGATATGTGATTTGGCTGTCCTTTAGACCTGAAAACAAGAATATATAATCAAAACCAATGTAATAAGTATGAATAAATGCATATTACATCATTCATACTTGTTTTGACAATTCTATCATCACTTTTTCGCCTTTAAGGTCGTTTGATCTTAATCATACACAGATTTTTTAAGGTAAAGGCCAAATGAGAAGCTGAAAGTAAGCTATAGCACACACATACTGGTTTACTATATGCTGATTATAATAAATTGTATCTAGTTAAAGACGATAAGTTATATTGACCTCTTGGTGTCTATTAAAAGTATCATATAATCCAACATTACGACTACGCGCACCTGGTTGTCCCTAAGAGACCCGAAATAAAGGTCACAGTGAGTGTTCATAGATAGAGAGTAAAAGGGAATAGAATACCAAAACGTGTTCCAAATATGGCGATAGGACATCAACGTGGAAAGATTAAAAGAAATGTTTTGTACTCCCCCCCTTTTTTTTCACGCTTCTTTTTTTCTTTAGTATTATTTTTCCCAATTGAACAAATGCATTCGAAACAAGAATTGAAATATAGGAAAAAGCAGCTTGATTCAAACTAATGCCAACCTTGAAACCACAAGACTCTACCGACTTTACAATAATTGACCAAGTAAGTGACACATAGAAAAGAAGGTTGTTTAAAAGGCACATAGCTGACAGAAAAAAAAACAGAGAAATGATGATTCCCCTCTTTCCATGCACGAAAACGTCACATTAAATTCCCCTAGCCACGAAGAATATAATCATCAGCTTCTTCTTCAGCAAAGAAATTTACAGTATTGTACTCCTTCTTTTTCAGATTTAATATTAAATAATTTTTGTAAGTTTCATCTTTGTTTTTCTTCTTTTTTATCATTTACTTACAAAAAAAAAAAAAATGTTATTTCTAGGTTCAACGCATGACAGTATTTCATGTCCAACTACCGATATATTCACGGAAGAGGAAGAGGATGAGATATGGCGAAAGAATTTCTTGGATTTAATAGCAGCTGTAATCACCTACTCAGAAAGCCTTGAATCAATGTCAACAGAATTATTACGGACAGAAGGAAAAGTAAGAGAGCTTGTTGTGTTACAAAAGTCCTTGGTTGAAGAATTGCAAGAGAAAGAGAACGTATACCAAGAGCGAATTGATGAATGTGAAGACATATCAAATCAACAATTGGATTTAATTGACCACTTAATTGAATTGGAAGCAGACTTGACCTTTGGAAAAGAGGTGTCAAACAGAAGATCAACTACCACAACTACACTATCAACGATCTATCGTTGGCAAAGTTCAGAACATGGCCAAGAAGAAAGGAGTCTTAATAGTGATACAACGGTCAATAGTAAATTCTTATTACCAAGTGATCATAAGAATGACATAATCAGTACTTTGCGATGGCAAGTTGGCGTATGGATAGGCGGTGGTGTTGGCTCAGGAAATATCGTACATTCATTTGAAAGTCCATCAGATTTAGGCGGCATAGAATTAATAATAGCTGGTTCTGGAACTATTGCTTCTCCACGCCATCACGTAAGGATTACTTAATATTAATGTCTTATAAATACATAATTAAGTTTCTCGTATATAGTCATTTACACAATCATTATCTATTCAACATTTACATTTTCACAAACATAACTACATGCTTCATATCACTCACAATCATAAAACACGATTCCGTTTATTGCCAAAGCATTTATGGACAGCTGACGAACTAGTGGATCAGTGTCAATTTAAAACTAATCATACCGCATGCTCATCACTCTTTTCCTTTTTCAAAAGACGACATCATTGCCGAAAATGTGGTAAAGTGATATGTCAGAGACACAGTTTAAATAGACTACCGCTATTTCCATCTCCATCGTCGCATACTGAAAAATGGCATCGTGTTTGTGATACATGCTTTCATGATTTAATTTTTGTAAAATAATAATAAAATATGGCGGAGAGAAAAAAGTGAAAAAGAGGGTTGCATTTATCCCAAAACAAAAAGTTTTTATTTTTCTGCTTCTTTCCTTCCATTAGATACATTTTTAATAAAGATGGATTATACTTACACTAATCCACAGCAGCAACTACAGCATCAACAACAGCAGCTGAAAGAACAACAGTATATTCAACAACAACAACAACAACAACAACAGCAGCAACAACAGCAGCAACAGCAACAACAGCAAGGGTTCCAGCCTTATCCAAGTAATGGCAACACCTCATCTACATATTTGTACCAGCAACCACAACAGCAGGCAGAGGCAAATGCTTTCAATCGCTCAACAGAGGGATTTCCTCGAAGTGTTTTAGATAGAGCAACTGCTGCTAAATTACGTTTAGAGCATTACTATAAAACGGCACTTGACCAAGCTTTTGAAAGAAATCAAAGGTTAGGCTACAACAGTTGTACGCTTTCATATCTATTTTTACACCATTAACATCTTTTTTATTTAAATAGACGAACTGACATTGAAAAGAAATTATTACATGAACATTGCAGTGAAGAAAAAAAGAAGAGACAACTTCAATCTTTGGGCAGAAAAGAATCTCAATATTTAAGATTACGTAGAACTAGATTAGGTCTTGAAGATTTCGTTACAGTCAAAGTGATTGGCAAGGGAGCCTTTGGTGAGGTCCGGCTTGTGCAAGCTGGAGACACGGGGAAAATTTATGCAATGAAGACCTTAAAAAAGTCTGAAATGTTAAAGAAGGATCAGTTGGCTCATGTCAAGGCCGAACGTGATGTTTTAGCAGAGGCAGACTCGCCCTGGGTAGTTCAACTCTATTTTTCTTTCCAGGACGCACAATACCTTTATTTAATTATGGAGTTTTTACCAGGCGGTGATTTAATGACAATGTTGATCAAGTATGATACTTTCAGTGAACCCGTCACTCGATTTTATATCGCTGAAATCGTACTGGCATTAGAAGCCATCCATAATTTGGGATTTATTCATCGGTACAGTAAAATTGTATTTATTTTAAAATGAAACATGTAGGCTAACCTCATCCTACAGTGATATTAAACCAGATAACATCTTGATTGATAAAGATGGTCATATCAAGTTATCAGATTTTGGCCTATCAACCGGCTTCCATAAGACTCACGATTCTCAGTATTACCAACGTTTATTAGAAGGAGCTCAAAACTCCAGTGGACCCGATTTTATCAATCTCAACACACAAAAAGAAAAGATCGCTACCTGGAAAAAGAATAGAAGAGCACTTGCTTATTCGACAGTGGGCACACCCGATTATATTGCGCCCGAGATATTTTTGCAGAGAGGGTATGGTCAAGAGTGTGATTGGTGGTCCCTTGGTGCGATCATGTTTGAATGTCTCTGTGGCTACCCTCCATTTTGTTCCGAAAACCCTCATGATACCTACCGTAAAATTATGAACTGGAGAGAAACTTTAATATTCCCTGATGACCAGCCTATTAGTAGAGAGGCAGAAGATTTAATTCGTAGACTGATTTGTGATCCGGATACTCGTTTAGGTAGAAACAGTCCTGATGAAATTAAGGCCCATCCATTTTTTTACGGTATCAATTGGGAACAAATTAGAAATGAAAGATCCCCTCATATACCTCAGCTTAGAAGTATTACTGATACCAGTTACTTTCCTACCGAAGAATTGGATTCAGTACCGGAGACTGTTGATAATCAAGGCTTCCAAACGGATACTGTCAATGCTCAAAAGGATCTTGCTTTTGTGGGTTATACATTTAAACGTTTTGATTATTTGACAAGAAAAAATGTGCTGTAAATACCATTCTTATTTAATAATCGATAAAAACAAAAGAGAAAAGTTTATTAAAAAAAAAAATTACACAAAAGAAAATTACACACATTTTTTTCTTCTAAACCTTCTTCATGGCCTGTTGGATGCCCTTAATATATGATTTTACAGTGACGGCAACACTCACATTGGCATATGATTTGTAGATTGATGTTACAACTGTTTTCACTGACGACACGATATTTATTTTTGCACTGATCTGTATTTTTAATACGCCTGGGATATCTACCTCGACATCCTTAATATGGGCCTTGAGCTGTGTATTCACGGACGACTTTAAGGTTTTTTCAATTTCGGGTAACGTGACATTTATCTCTGAACGAACAATGGTTTCTGCTTTCATCAATACATTGGTAAGCTGGTTTGTCGTCAATACTTTTTGGGATGGCAACATGGCATCTATTTGAGGAGAAATCGAGTCTGAAATGACTTTTTCAAACTTTTCATCCACTGTTTGTGTTATCTTTGCTGAATGATGGAAGTGAGGTTAGTATATAGTAAAATAAAAAAAATATATGCCCATGGACATTGCTTGATGCAAAGTTACATACTCTGGAGTCCGTCTACGACAGCTGTCTGTATTGCTTCCACTTCTGCATCCTCTATTTTAATTACGCCACCAAACACTGATGCCTTGATACTCAGATTGGCCTTTACTTTTTGAAAGATCTAAATAGAACGTTTAAGTTCAGTGCCACCACTAAAATACATGTTATATTTGGTACCGAAGCGGAGATCTTGGAGGTAATATCTGTTTGAATACGAGCTTTAATTTCAGCAATAATACAACTAAAAAGCTGAGGGCTGTTAGGGACTGTACGTGATGCCCTCTTATTGAGAATTATGGCCAAATGACGGCGAATGACGTTTTCCTTTGAGGGCAACCGCTGTAAATTATCCACTGAAACACTTGATATGACGTCCATTGTGGTTGCTGAAGTGAATGTAAATATGATACAATATAATACGAATAGATACAATAAGCGGTTCATTTTTCGTGATTTTTTTTATAAAGAACAAAGGTAGAATTACAAGATGTACTTTTGGTTATATATATTCATGTCATATATTTTAAAGGAGAGAACGCTTGGTAAGATTGACATGAATATATCTTGTGTAATACGATCAAGTCATAAAAGTTGGTGGATAGCGTGTTTTGCCACCAAGACGAACAGTTCAACTCGTTCCAAGCTAATTTTATTTTTTACAAACATCTCCTAAAAAAGTATGTGTCTATCTCCTCGCTCCCTCACCCATTTTGCTCCTAATGATTACCCCTACTTTTTATTTTATAAATTGGCCCTCTGCTATACCATAAAAAGAATAATGCGGCATGATGATTTTTATTTACGGAAAAACGATGAATTGCATGATTATATTTAACTCAGATGGCGGTGGAGATGTGTACAGTGGTAGCATACGTGATTACATAAGATGAAAAAGTTCGTGTCAAATCGCAACCCCAAAGAATGACAAAAATTTATTTGCAATTTATCGTATTAAAATATCTATTTCGAAAATGCAAATGTGCATGTACAATGATAATGAAGGAAAAAGGGGTCAATCTATAATGTAAATGAAAAAAAAAAAAAAAAAAAAAAAAAAAAAAAAAAAAAAAACCACCCGACGGAAACCTGCTGTTAAAATTTTGGAGTTGTACAGAAACGAAGTAAAAAAAAACAAAAAAAGTATCCGACTATACAAAAAGGGAATTATAATGCAACTAAACAATCATAAAAATCAAATAGATTAAATAAAATGTAGAGGGAATTTTTTCTTGTTGTTTCTACATGAGAAATGATTGAGAAAGCTTCTAGTGTCTCACTTTGACTAGGTTTAAGTAATGGGATTTTCATGGCTTTTTTTCTATGTGTGACCCTATACATAGAAAAAAAAGTTTCGTTCTCCACTTGACATGATTTTATTAGCAAAAAAAAAAAAATCGATTAACCTTTTTTAGGGGTCCGCCGCCTTTTTAAGAATCTTTAAACCTTTCAATAAACAGAATCTCTTTTTCCTCTTTCTCTTTATTTATTTCCTAATTTAATATACATGGCACCATCGATAACAGCAACGACTGAAAATGATAGCATCCGAAGAAGATCATTGAGCGGAGCGTCAGCTTTGTTAGCAAGAACATTCACAAGACAGTCCAGTGCTCCGAGACCAGCGAGTTCCAGATCAGAATCTACCACAAGAAGAAGAGCAACAATTGCAGCATCTACAGACATACCACAACAAAATGGCATCAAAGTTCATGTTCGCATTGTGCCCAACATTGAAAATCCCAGCAGAAGTTTGATCTTTGATATAGTAGATCGTGAGCTTCAAGTCGGCTCAGTCATTCGTATTGGCAGATATTCTGAGCGACACGCCAATTTAAATTGCATGTCTTTCAAAAGCAAAGTCGTCTCAAGATGTCATAGTGAAGTATGGGTTGAAACAGATGGCAAGGTATATTATTATTGACGCTCCGTTCAAACTTTAAAAATAAAATTGACAAATAGAATCTTTTACTAGTTGTATATCAGAGACACAAAGTCATCTTCTGGTACCTTTTTAAATCATGTCCGACTTAGTCCTGCTGGTAATGAAAGTAGACCAGTAGAATTAAATGATGGTGATATCGTCCAACTAGGCGTCGATTTTCAAGGTGGTAGAGAGGAAATGTACCGTTCGGTTAAAATGAGATTTGAATTAAATCGTTCAAGCAGACCACGGCCATTATCTTTCAGTATAAATGCCTTCCAAAATCTCCGTAACCTTACACACGGAGAACACAGCCATGTAACAACTCCCGAGTGTGATATATCTACTAATAATAATACTGTACAACCTTTTACCAAAATTACCTTATCTAATCAAGAATCAAACACAACAACTAATAGCATACAATGTACACCTGCATCGATTGACAATACTGATGATAATAATGATATCGATGAATGTTGTATTTGTTTATATGCATTAGCTCCTTTTCAAGCACTCTTTGTGTCTCCATGCTCTCATACTTACCATTTCAAATGTATTCGACCTCTACTACAGAGCTACCCTGGCTTCCAATGCCCCATCTGCAGAACTTACTCAGATCTGGAAGCAAGTGTAGCCATTGAAGCAGATGAAGTCATGGAAAAATATGCCATCCGATATAACAAAAAAATAAATGATTCAACTTGCAATGCACCTCTAGCAGATTCTTCTGGGTTGAATTTACAATCGGATATTCACCACTTATTGCAAGAAAACCATATAACAACAACAACAACAGTGGAACCTTCAGTTTCTTCTGCAGACCATGGAATAGACCAACCACTTCATATACCACCTTTACAGCTTACTCACCTTAATTCTCCTGTCATCTATTCCGAGCCGCTGCCGGACTTATCACCCCTAGACACAAATCATCATGGTATGTTCTATTTTCAAAACAAATGGCTATTAAAAAAAATGTGCTAAATGCGTTTATTATTAGAACACCCCACTGACAATTTAAATCATGTGATCGATGGTTCATCTCTTACAAATGACTCTATCGAAGAAAATGGAATCATGTCGAACACAGATGAAGACGATGAAGACTATGAAGAGCACAATGTAACACCAACAGAAGAAGATGCTCCCAGCCGACCACGCGAAAGACGAACGAGTCATATCATGGAAAAGATCAAGATGGTCTTTTTTGAAAAGAGAAAATCTACACCTTACGGAAGCAACAAAAATCGTCGCAGTAGCAGTAATAAAAGACCATTATCCTACTCAGATGCACATGCAGGAGATAATGAAACTGCGGTAGAAACACAAGGCAGTAGTCGTCGTAATACCTCCACGGCTGCCGTGCCTCTCAGTCAAACATTATCTAGACAATCTACAACTCATTTAACAGAAATTGGTGAAGAACCTGCCGCTGGTGTTGTAATCAGCTCCTATAATAGTACTAGCCGAGACAGAAATCACTGTATACAACAGGCAATGGCTGTTGATGTATAAAAACAAAAAAACGAGTTTACATGCGCATTTCATATATTTCTTAAAAAATAAAAATTCTATAATTTAGCTCTCAATATTATACTCCTTGTCAATTTGGTCTACAAAAGATTGCATAAAGCGATCACGCTCATTGGCCAAAACCTTTCCTCTTGCTGTTCTCATCATAGTTTTTAATCTAAACAATTTCTCTATATATGGCATTAGTTTTTTTTTTTTTTCTATTAACATTCCTCGTCCTTCTGTTACCATGGAAATGACCAATAGCTGAACTGTCTGCATTTTTGTTCAGATATTCTTCTTGAGTAATATTTTCGATCGGTTTATCATCAGGTACATACAATGATCGATTTCTGGCACCACTAAAGGCAGCACATCGCAGAACGCCTTACAAGGAGGAGGTGGAAAAATAAGTATCCAATTTATGCATTGTTTTTTAGTGCTAGTTACCAAAAGCGCCAATGGCGTCCAACTTATCCGCATCTTGGACACTAGAACATATACAATCATTATATGCAAAGCAGTTCTTAAGAAAAATATGTAAAACTTACGCATGCAATTCCAAACACAAGTTGCGCCATTGGACTTTTTCCTTGTCATCAGTTTCATCATTCCAGCCCAATTCTTTACTGAAACCAACGTGATCTACAATTTTAGCAACAATGTCTGCTTTACCGTACTTTTGCTCGTTCAAAAACGTCTCAATCAATTGGCCACCTGTTTCTTTTCCTTGGTAGTACTTTCTGTCACCTACATCATGACAGAGTGCAGCCAACTCTACTAACTCTAAATCAATTTGCGTGGCTCCATTCTTGATGCAATCTTTGGCAATGTCAAGTGCTATATTTTTGCGCAGTAAGTTAACCGTCACTGACCACACAAATTAAAAACTAACACACTTACCAAGTCTTCTGACTCTGTCAACATGGTACATGTCGTGAGAAGGATCCAACCCAGACATGTATTGGGAGACCATGTCCCGAGTTGCTTGTAATATGTTAATGTAAGTCATTCCTTTTTTTTAAGAGGGGGCGGCGGAATTCAAGGTAAAGAAGCAATTTATTACAAAGCAACAGTAATCAGGAAAAAAGGGGAGGAGCTTTCGTGTATTGTTACACGACATTTTGAACAGTTACACGATGTTAACACATTTTATTCATTCACCATTTATACCGTATCACTTGTGTCTTGTATAGTCAACTGCGGGGATTGTGGACCGTCCAAGGCTTTTTTAGCGGCTAATAAAAGTTCTTCAGATGGGAGTTCAACCACGGCCGCTTCCATGGTCGATGATGAAGAAGAGGAAGAAGATGAAGAAGAGGATGGCGAGAGTGTGGTTATTTCTTCATTCAGAATGACTTTTTCCTCTGACCTTTTTTGTGCCTCCACTTTTTGAAGCATATTTGTAGTACAGACAGCGACAATATCATTCTGTAGGTTAGCTAATTCTTCATCACTAGGCTATTAGAGGATATTTAAAAAAATTAATATGCTGGAAAAAAAACTACATAAATGTTTTTGGTTTGTTACCGGTATATTGATGTCGAGAAATGTAAGGGTATTGTTCATTTTAATAGATACTGCTAACGCCAAAATACCAGCCATTTCAATATTGGGATTCTTGGATAAATCCAGTCTTGAAAGATGATAATTCTCGGGTAATGATTCAGCTAATGCGATGGCAGTACTGGAGTCAAGTTGGGTATTGGATAGATTTAAGCTTTGTAAACAAGAATTACGAGACAGGGCACTTTTTAAACTCAATATCTGTGTGTGGAAGGCCAAAAAAAAAAAGTTTAACATGATGGAATTTCATAAGAGAGGGGATCATGGATACTTACACCCTCATCTGCTTCTCCGCTTAATGGGTTATTTGACAAGTCTAGAGATTGTAGACACACGTTTTCTCCCTATAGAAAAACTAGTTAGATAGACGACCAAAAAGAAAATGGGTTATAGGGATTTACCAGAGCATTCGATAAATGGGATAAGCCCTCATGCGTTATTTTACAGTTTGAGAGACAAAGGTTCTGAAGGGTATGATTATTACGTAATGCGGAAGCCAAAGGAGAGACAATTGAACTCAGGTCATTTCCAGATAAATCCAAGTCGATGAGGCCGCCATGATCGCTGTTAACAAGGTTAGAAATCCATGTGGTTGATCCAGCTGATGTGATGTAGTTACGAAATGAAAGAATCTTTAACGACTTTGATTGATAGACTCCTTCAGAAAATATCTCAAAGGATTCTGGTGGCGGCTTTATATTGCAATCATCCAGTATCAGTTTATTTAAGCTTGTAGCATGCTTAATACCTTGTGCAAGAAACTGCATTCCCATTTTTTCTATTGTGGAGTGTGACAAGTCGATGGATTTAATAGTTTTAGACTTTTTTTTTGTGATGGTGGTTAGTAATTGAATCGATTAAAACCATGATATTTGTATGGTATATACCTCTTTTATAAAAATGGCAATGTATTTAAAGCCCTTGGATTTGAAATTGTTCTGTGATAGATTCAGATGCTCTACGGTGTTACTTACCAATAGACTACATAGTAATATACGGATGGTCTATTTGTATATATGTAACTTTTTTTTTTAGTCACATTTACATAAAGATATGTATAATAAATACCTCATCCTCCAATTTACAGTTTGATAAGTTCAGGTGTGATAGACCGAATCTTAGAATAAAAATATCGGAAACAGGCCCTGCTTGATTCGAAGCAATAGTTTGTTTAGACAAGTCTATGGATTTCAGTTGAGAAGTTCTATAAAATAAATCAACATACAATGTATTATTTATTTATTTTTCATTTTACCGGCTTGCTTTCAAGATATTCCTAAACCGGTCTATAACACCTTCTTCTCTTTGGATACAGGCGTGCTCATAATGGCTTGCCAAGTCAAGAACTTGGTTTGTATCCTGCAGCTTTTTTAAAACAATGGAGGCCTGCTTCTCTTTCTCATACTCTTCATCTCTAGGGGAATCTTGAGAACAAAAGAAATGTTCAATCGTCAGGTTGCCAACAGAAAATGTTACTTTTCTCAAGTCCTGCTTTGGTAATAACAGCGACCGTTTATATTCCTCACTGTCTTCCTCATTATTGTTTAAATTGGAAGAATACAACTTGGACTGTAAACGAGAGAACCATGACGTTGTTGGTGACGGTAAAGGCGACAATGCTGTTTCTGTGTTGTTTTCAGGTTTATATTTCAAAATACTCTTTGGTCTAGTATTATTCATTTTGGTAATAAAAAAAAAAAAAAAAAAAAAAAAAAAGAGAGAGAAAGCGAACGGAAAAAAAAGAGAAGAAAGCCCGAAATTTATTTTTATTTTATCCCTCGTGTTCAAGGCCAAAGATGAAACTGAATGTAATTTGTCCCTTCATTTTCATATTTCATTCTTTACTTATTTCATCATTAAAATAATCATAGCTGCTCTATTCAATTCAGGAACCCAACTTATTTTTTTGAGCTCTTTTTTTATTTGAGTATCAACTGGTTGAACCTGTGTCCCCATTTAGAACAAGTCACAGGTGCGTTGTGGTTACTCTGTGTTACATTCACTCACTGTGTGCCTTTGTACCCCTTTTGCTTCCTCACCCACATGTGTCAACAGAGCCGTGACAATTCGTTTCAGTCGCTGTAACTAAGCACAAAGGTTGATAGATATGACGTACCATTTCAAAGAATGGAAACTCCATATTTAATTATTGCTACAATCATACCTGATCAACCTAGCCCACAGCAGGTCCCCGTCACTGCACCTAAAATGGCTTACTCGCAGGTGCCACATAGCCTTCGTGATATTTTTATCTGCTCGGCAGGACACAGGATGGTCTTCATATTTATGAATCTATTTCTACCAGTATTGTTCCAATAGCGACCTTAGTAATAAAACCAACCTTTGCATCACGAAAAACAAGTTCTCTAAAAGATTCTAAAGTCGATTTACCTTTCATTTAATTAACCAAAACCTCTGTTCTCCATCAGGCGAGAATCGTTTCACATTTTCTGGTCTTCAAACTAATCAATTTGGTGGGGTGCAATGCTGACCCTCCTCCATGCTTCTCGTACCTGTAAGCCAAAATAGCAATCCTGTAGATTCGAGAACTGTGTCTGACTTTACTCAGCAAATATGCCTAATTGGTACGAGGATCATTAATATTCTTGTTTGCCGAACAATAACCTTGTCTATGGGAAAACTCTGTGTTTAACTAGCGGCAGTGTGGTTATAATGGGCGTTCACAAACGAGAGAATTAACTATCTTTCCAAGATTAATAAAAATGAGACGAATGATGACATCACATTTGCCACATTCTGACCAAGCAGTTGTGTTCAACCAACTAATAAATATTCAGATAAATTATTTCTTAGGTCTGTGGAAGTGGAATTAAGGTCTGTCATTAAAGCAGAAATAAATAAACAGTAAACATGGTCAAACCCTTATAGACCTCAACAAAGACCCTGACCACCTTTGAAACAAGAAATAATCAGCAGCGAAAAAGTTGGGCTTCAAAAAATGTTATGAACAATAGCGATAAAACACTTTGTCAGTGTATGATTTATCGTGAGCGAAGTGGAATGACAAAAGTGTGCTGTCAGGAATTTATATGGTTTTTTTCTTTCTCTCTTTTTTGATTTGAAAGAGCATGATCAAGCAAGAGATACACCGTTACTGAGGGGGAAGTAACGCTTGGAAATAGAGAATACACTGGTCGAGTTATACGGCAATGTAGTAGAGCCAAAGAGTATTTTGTACAGTTTTGTTGAACACGTTGATTCAGAAAGATCTGGAATTATCCATCCGGAAAGATTTAATTATGGCAAAAGTTCAATTTTTGATGCGTAATATCACAAAATATGTATTTCACTATTCTTCTGTAATCGGAATGATTATGTTTCATTCGAAATGAATCCCCATTCTTTAAAGAATGTTGTATACGGATTCAAATTATCTTTGGACTTAATAAACTAAATCAATAACCACTCTTCTTGACTATAATAACAAAACCTAAACTTTAAAAGGGTCGTTATTAGTGTTCGGAATGAATGTCGGAACTTTCGAGTGAGCTTCGATCGTATTCCAGTCGAAGCTCGCTCGAATGCTTCTTTCGAAAATCAAACTCGTTCGAGATTATGATACCGGTCGAAATTTTCGGCTTAATCAGGTTTATAGCTTAAATGTTTGTATTATTTATTTGAGAAAACTGGATTTTTTAGATACGTTTGTTCATCTACATTAATTGTAAGTCTAACCTATTAAAATCAAAAACTAAAGAAAAAAAAAGAATAATGAAGCTGAGAGTATTGTTTAAAGAAAATGCCACTACCCGTCTTTTTGTAGTCATGAATTTAAATTGACTACTCTCCATTTTATGACCGAGCGAGTATCGGTCGATACTTGCTCGAATCCAGAAAAAAATGGCAAAAGCTCGAGTCTTAAAACTCTGTTCGAGCTCTGTTTGAACTGGCACAAGATCGGTGGAAACCCGAAAAGTTCGAACACTACTTTACAACTGTTTTAATTTTTGTGAGCCAATTTTTAGCATTATTGTACATGCGAAAAGCCAGGTTTTAAAATAATGTCGAGGAACTAATGTTTTGTAGCGACCAAATATATAAAGAGATCAAAAGCTAAATTTGATATAATTTAGTAATGTTACACTACCTTTTTTCCTTTTCTTTGGGTTTTCCCTTCAAACTCCCCCCATTTTTTTTGACTGCCTATTCCCCCTTTTCTTATAAAAGGGGTCCCAAAAATCCAATAAACATTTCGTCAGTTAGTCTTGACTTCACTTTAAATTGTCCTTAAGTTCCATCGTAATTCATATTTTTAGTTATTGAACATAATAAGATATTAATTATACTTGAATATAACTTCCAACATAAATCATCAAATTATAGATTCAGTTGTATATTACTATTCCTTCGAATTCTGCATTGAATTGATTTCGTCGCTAAAGTTATCCAAAGCTATAACCTTTTATTATTATTTCTAAATAAGTTGGCTACTTTCATATTGTTACACCACCTTTTTCTTCTTCTGTTGGTCCTTTAGACTTCAGATCTCTATATTTTTTCTGACTGCTTTTCTGACCTTTTCTTATAAAAGGAACTTAAAAATTCATAATAATATAATTAGTTTGTTCTTTACTATAATCTGATTTAGTCTTATTCATATAAGCCTGGTTCCATTATAGATATATATAACTACTATAATTTTACGAAAGCCCTTCTTATAAATCAGCACTGAATAGTCTTAACAGTTGTATTTTACTATACTCCTTCGAAGACACAGATAACTGATTCGTCGTAGCATTTCCCTTTGATATCTTTATATTTTATTTTATCTCTTTCAGTTGACAACTATATAGTCTGGCGCTCACTTTTTAAGAATTTTATCTTACTCTTTTTCTTTATTTCACGCTACCGCTTTTATACTTAAACAAGCCAGTAACAATATTCTAGTGCTCACTATAAACACATCTGTTATTCTTCATTTTATTCTCTATTTTTAATTTCATACCTAATACCTTACAACAGTAAACAATATTTATTTTAATTAAAGCAACTTGTGTGACAGAAACCACTGATACAATTTCATATGATTGTTGGTGTTTTATTATATTATAGGAAGAGTTACATAAAATAAGAATAATTCAATAATAGAGTGACTATTCAATTCTTAGTGAGTATCACGTTATTTTATATAAATAATTGGTAAATATATATGACAACGAGCCAGTAAAGAGAACGTGATAGTGTTACTGGCAAGTTTCAGTAAAAGTAATAGAAGAGAATAAAAATAGAGATTAAGATAAAGTTCTTAAAAAGTGAGCACCAGACTATATAGTTGTCAACTGAAAAAGATAAAATATATTTATATAAGAGGGTAATTTATACGACGAAATCAGATAAGAGTGGTATTCGAAGGAGTATAGTTAAATACGTAATGGAATAGCTACAATGCTGATTTTACAGAAGGAAATTACAAGCAATTATAATAAATACAAAATCACAAAGACTTAAAGTATTAAGACTTATTCAGATTAAAGTAAAGAACAAACTAATGATTTTATTAAATAATTTTATGGTCCTTTTATAAGAAAAGGACCAAAAAGCAGTCAAAAAAATTAAAAAAATCTTAGGTCAAAACGACAAAAAGTGCCGTGTAACAATAGAAATAAGTTCTCGGGTAAATAACTACAGAGAAAAATAGACTCAGGCTACGATCTATAAAAAGACAGATAGATAATAGTCCTGCTATACATAGAGGATATAATATTTAATAGGCAAGTTGTAGTAAAGCGGTTAAAGTAAAATGTATGTGCTAAAATCGCACTTATAAATAATAAAATAAAATAAATAAATCGTCGATCCCACATGGTCGACTCATATACCAAATACAATATCACAAAAGAAAAGAACATCAGGTATAAAAACTGAGTTACTACTTTAGAACTCAGTTTGACTTAAGATTTCTTAGAACCATCGTCCTCTCAATTCTGACAGAACAATAAGACTAGCTCATTGTTTACGAATCAATCCAATCATAAAGGCAATGACTGCTTAAATTTAAGGCACCATCGGACATGTATTATACCACCCAATGGTACCTTCACTAACTATTAGATAACCGTTTAAACTACAGATCCCAATAACTATAAATACCCTG